ATTCCCAAAGAAAGGTGGGTGGACCTCTAGCTCATGTTCCTGGAAAGTTATAATCTGTGGTTTACATATTTTATCTCTATAATTTATTTGTACATGTATTATTATTGTCAGATTATCATCAGGTAGGGATATGACTTCTATTTCCCATTTCTTTTTTTAATATTTATTTTTAGTTTTAGATGGGCACAATATCTTTATTTTATTTTTATATGGTGTTGAGGATCGAACCCAGCACCCTGCGCATGCCAGGCCAGCGTGCTACTGCTTAAGCCACATCCCCAGCCCAATTTTCCATTTCTTAACAGTGTCTTTATATCCTAGAACAATGTTTTTCATGGGAAGAGTTTTCTTTTGTATTTAATCTCTTCTTTCATCCTCATTCCCACTCCTCATACCTTCAGTTAGAATAGAAAATCAAGATTCTCTCGGAGATTCTCTCTGAACCAGTCCTCCTTGCAGATTTTAGCTCTGTCTTCAAACAGCATCCATGCTTTCAAAAGACTTTAATTTGATAGTGTTTTGTGCTTCCTAGATGAGATAAATTTAAATTTCACTTGTTATGGGTTAAAATAAAGGAGAGAGAGAGAGAGAGAAAAAAAAAAGAACTGGTCAGTGTGTGCACCTTGATGGACCTTCTTCTTGATATGTCTTCCTTATTTCCAGTGGTGTGCTGTGCACACCAGTGCATCTTTAGTCAGACAAGGAAATGCAGTAGGAGAATCTGCCTTTCACAAGAAAAGGAAAAGTACCAGTTGGCATTGGCTGAGTAGGGGGTTGCTTTAAAAATGAAAATATACTTCTTGATAAGACACTAATTCAAACAAGCTTGACCCATTAGTTATTTTGTAGCCTTTTCTCTTACCAGGCTAGTATTGTAGATTTTTTTTTCTTTTTCTCTGAGGGGATAGGAGAGTGTAGTTGGTTGAAGGCAGAAAGGAAAACAAGGGCAAAACTGAGTTTCCAAAAAGATTCTGGAGATAGTTGAACGAAGGAAAAAAAAGAACTGATACCTCATAAACTCTGTCAACCAAAGTTAGATCCTCTGTAAGCATTTTTTTTTTAAGTGGGGGCAGGGAGTAGGAAAGGGAGGGAGAATTTTCTTCTGATTTCTTAGCAAAAGTTCCTTTGGAGAATCTTCTTATCTCAACTTAAACAGGAATAGGAATGTTTCAAAAAATCTTAGTACAATAATTCATTATATCTCCAAATAGAAATAATATAAAATGACTTGTATATTACATATACTTAATGTATACTTTGAGATCTCAGGGTTTCTTTCCCTTCTGCTTGTTTACATTTATTGGAAAGTCTGTCTCCCCTCTCCTACTCCCCCATACACAAGTCTAAATTCCTTGGAGACAATTTTTTTTTAATCTTTCCTGTCTTAACACTAACCATGGTGCTTATGTGCTTAGGTTGAAATTCATTCATTTTACTACTAGTTGTTGTTGTTGTTATTATTATTATTTGAGACTTAGTCTCACTATGTTGTCCAGGCTGGCCTTTAACTCCTGGGCTCAAGTGATCCATCCTCCTGCCTCAGCCTCACAAGTAACTGGGATTATAGGTATTTGCCAATAGTAATTATTTGAATTACAGAAAGTCTTCATTATTGTTTTAATTGGCCATTTAGTTATAAAGCATTTCAAATAGAGATTGCTTTAATTCTAGAGAATAAATTGGCACAATTAAAAAATAAGTGCTTTGGGGCTGGGGTTGTGGTTCAGTGGTAGAGCACTTATCTAGCATGTGCAAGGCACTAGGTTTGATTCTTAGCACCTCATATAAATAAGTAAATAAAATAAAGGTACGTGAACAACTAATAAAATATTTTTTAAAAAAATAAGCACTTTTAGGAACTTGAACATAATGAACTAATGAGTATTTGTTAAATTTTGAATTATATATATCAATCTCTTCTTGATGCCTGAGATGGCCTAGTTTCTTCTGTGGGAAAAACATCAGAATACCAAGTCATACTATGGTGTTTTGAAATGTGTAAGAGAATTCTGGATATTGTGAGTTCCAACTAGTTCTTTGGTAACTTAGCAATATTAAGTAGCATGTCCAAGTTGTTACACACTGATGAACATCAGATCAATGATGGCATAGGTCTGACTTCATGTTTCACATATTTCCTCACATCCTTTTATAGTGTAAATAGGTAATTGAGAAGATGCCAAAGTAGATACCTGGTTCACCTTTCTGAGTGAGACAGGATGGCCGAATGGTTAAGTGATGAACTACTAATCCATTGTGCTCTGCACATGTGAGTTTGGTTGGTTTTCCTTTCTGTTTCATCTTCTGAGAAGATAGTTTTCAGCTAGAAGCCAGGACTTTTGTTCTCCCATTTGTTTTTCTGAACATTTTCAGGGCAACCTGGGTTTGCTAACATTTGCATTTTCAAGGACCCAATTTTAAACATGTGTTCTCACATCTTCTAGCTGTATGACCATGGACAGGTTAGTTTCTCTAAGCTTCATTTTTTCTCGCTGATAAAAAAGGTTACAATTCCTATCCACTCCTAAGATTTTATGAGAATTAAATGTGATAAAATTAGCACATGATTTTTGTAGACATTTGACATTTACCCATCTCTTGGGTTGATAAGAGTAGATGGAATTTAGCCATTAATAGGGTGGCAAATTACTTTTTAAAATCTCCATACTCTTTGAACTTAATTATAGAAGTCCTTCAACTTAGTATAGTCCTTATAAATATTTGTTAAACTAAATTCAAAAGGTATAAATTCTGAAAGTGAAAAGTGTATTCTACTAGCACATTGAGTATCAGACTATTGTAACATGACCATATAGTTGAAGATTAATTGAATCCTACTTGGTTCTTTATTCCCTCTACCAAGTCAGGTGGGTCTCTTCAGGGCTACCATCTATCTTTAAGGGTCCTAAAATGTTAAACCTCATGGATTAAGAAAAAAGACTTTATGGATAAAAAAGAAAGCTCATAAGAGCCTTCTGGTTAGAAAGACAATAATGCATGATACCCATAGGAAAGCATTTCAAAGCCAGGACTTTAGCTTCATGGAATACTACTTTGTCCTTATTTTTCTCAATTAGTCAGACTGGCTGTGGTGTTGAGATGGACATTTGCATGAGCAAAGAAGATCAAGTCCAAATTCCCCTGCTGTACCTGTATAGAGTTTCTGATATCCAACCACACTTACCTTGCCTACATCATCTCTGTTCAAGTCTTTCACTTCCACATCTTCTTCTCCCCTTTCTTTTTTTCTTCAAGATCCTGTTTGATCATATCTGAGGAAGCCTCCCCAAACAGATATGAGAATATTCAGTATCGTCACTGCCATCCTCAGCCATCTGTGATAATACAGTTCCTATCCTTCTGCATCATCATTCTCTTCCTACCAGACTAAGTTCCCTGAGGAACTGAAAATTAATTCAGTTACAGATCTCCAGTGGCTATCATGTGCAGGGACTGTGTTAGGTGCTGGGGATACAAAAGATGAGAAAAGTCAATGCAGTCCTTGCTGCAATGTAGCTCAAGTCTAGTTGGAGAGATAGACATAATCAAATTATCACCAAAATAATGATATGAAGGCAACTGTGATTGCTGATATGAATGGGAAGTATATATCTCTGTGATAACCAACGCTAAGGGGAGTTGGCTTGGGCAGGTCAGAGAAAGCTTCCACACTGTCATCACCATATCTGCTCTAAATGGTGGTGTCACAGGCTTAGAGAGCAGGTAAAAGACAGTGATCTTCTTGGGTGTAGTGGCATACAGATATAACCACAGCTACTCAGGTGACTGAGGCAAGAGGATCTCAAGTTTTACGCCAGCCTCAGCCACTTAGTGAGGCCCTAAGCAACTTAGATTCTGTCTCAAAATGACAAGTTAAAAGGTCTGGGGATGCAGCCCCAGTGGTAAAGTGCCCCTTTATCCAGTTTAAAAAAAAAAAAGACTCTGAACTCAGTTATGTAATTTTAAGTTGCTACAGGTTAAGTCCATTAGAGCTTCAACACGAAACTAGGCAATTATGAACAATTAATAACCAAAGGACAACTAATAATAAACTCTTAGCATGCTGTTTCCTTTTATTAATCCAAATTTTATTTCTCAAGTGTTAATCTCTTAATTGAAAGTTAACAGTACAAAGTTATCATACTCTATTTTTATCCCCTACAGTATTCTTACCTCCCCTGAACACACAGTTGGATTTAAAATCTTGTAGGTCTTGTTAAGGTCAATGTTGAAAATGTAAAGATCAATGTTGAAAAGGTCAATGTTCAGGGCCCTTGGCAGGGGGAATCCATGGGTGCAAAGAAAAGGAGACACTTAAGGTACCAGAATTCTCCTGGCAAGCAGTTACCCCTGTAGACCATGCATATCCAGAACTGGCCTCACTTTTGAGTTGGCAAAAGAGCTCTGAAGGAGCTTGTTGCTTTGTTAGAAGGCAAGATATACAAATAAAACAGCTGGGGTAAAAAGGAAGTACTAATATTGTGTTGGAAGGCGAGGTAGGCCTTCCTAGAAGAAGAATGCTCACTATCAGACTATAATAATCAGGGAGGGGGCTGGGATTGTGGCTCAGCGGCAGATTGCTCGCCTAGCACGGTTGGGGCCCAGGTTTGATCCTCGGCACCACATAAAAATAAAGGTATTGTGTTATGTCCATCTACACCTAAAAAAAAAATATTTAAAAAAATAGTCAGGGAGATAGGTAGTAGGCTTGAGTGAGGCCCTGAAAGAATGATGGGATTTGAAGAAAAGTAGAGGGAACTACAAGCATGCATTGTATGCACATTGCATTGTTAGCACTGTTAGTCAATGTGTTAACATTACATGGTCTCATACAGTCCTGCAAAGCATATCTGCATCTTCAGGTTTTGTAGGTGAGGAAGGGAAGCTTGGAGAGGTTAATGTGCCCTGAGTTATCAAATATGGTTTGTGCTGCACAACTTCACTTTTAGCCTTTTGTCTATACATTCATATATCTTCATAGTTTTAGAGAATTACTCCAAATCCATCATGATTGAAGACAATAAGGAGAACAAAGACCATTCCTTAGAAAGGGGAAAAGCAACTCTCATTTTTTCCTTAAAGAATGAAGTTGGAGGACTTATAAAAGCACTGAAAATCTTCCAGGTAAGCACTATCCATTTTTTGCACAAAACCACCCAAAAATGAGTCTTTAAATTATATTTAAAATAGAAATTATTGTAGATTCTTCAGAGATGGGCTACAGAAATTTCTTAAGAATTTATATTTCTAAAATATTGCTCCATTCCAATCCTTTCTCTGTGTCTTGTTAGCTGGATGGTCATGGGTGAGTTAATTAGTCTCTTTGCACACTACTTACCCTACTTAACCTTACCGGGTCATTGTGGGAATTAATATAGTTAATATATTTTAAGTGTTTTGGGGCTGGGGGTTGTGGTTCAGTGGTAGATCTCTTTCCCAGCACGTGTGAGACACTGGGTTCTATCCTCAGCACCACATAAAATATACATAAATAAAATAAAGTTATAAAAAATAAATAAAATGCTTTGGGTAGTACAAAGTAAATTATCAATAAATGTAAGATATTTTAAAAATAAAGTTTATATCAATATGATATATTACATATAGCCATTTGAAAATAATAGTTCAAATAATTAAAAATTTAAATATAGACAAATAGTTTAGAACTGGAGTTTGTGATTAAAAGCATCAAAATTTCTGGGCTGGGGTTGTGGCTCAGTGATAGAGCGCTCGCCTAGCATGCATGAGGCACTGGGTTTGATCCTCAGTACCACATTAAAAAAAAGTAAATAAATAAAATAAAGGTATTGTGAAAAAAAATTTTAAACAGCATCAAAATTTCCTTCACTATACCATATCCTCAGCCCTACTTCTTAGAAGCAGCCTTTTAAAACCATTTCTCTTCTTTAGCTATTTGGTGGTGAGTTGTAAACCTAAATATTGCTTTGATATCTCTTTTTAAGTTAGGAAGTTTATACATTTATTTGTTCTCTATTGAAACCTTGTTTATTTTTCATGTGTTGCTGGGGGTTGAACCCAGTGTTTCATGCATGCTAGGCATGTGATCTACCCTGAGCTACAATCCCAGCCCCAGTAACTTTGATTTTAATACTGTCTTCTTTCTCTTTCCTTATCCCCCTTCCCCCAAATTTGATAATTATATTATTATTTTTGTATTGATTAACTTTGAGTCCTTAAGTAATATACCTATTTATTTTCTTCTATCAGTTTTCTGTTTTATTTTATTGATAATCATGAACAGTTTAAAAAATCAACTCATTCTATAGATCTTATAAAGAAAACAGCAGTCTTCTGCTCCAACTCTCTTCATTTCCATTTTCTTTAATTGTTTTGATAACCTTAGGTGCAAAGGGTCAAGTTGATCTTACTGACGAAATCACATGTGCACTAGCATCATTGATTTATGAGTGTCTTCTGTCTTATTTTATTGTTCCATTTAACCTCCATTTCTCTCTTCTGATAGCAGCTGCTCTAATGTATTGGACGTGTACATTGATCTATTTTTATGTGCACTTTAGAATATGATGAATGTTTATATGTGCATTTGTTAGTAATTTCATATAAATGTTAAAGTGTTTCAGCAATTTCCCCCCACTTGGAATGATTTTTTTAAGACTTAATTCTTCTAATTGCCATATGATGTTCCGTGCATCCTTCCCACTTTACTTGTCCTCAGCCTAGAGGAGGCAAACATTATAAACTTTTTAAGCCACTTTGCTAATATTTACTTCTACACTTATTAATAATTTGCTTATTCTGTTTTTATTTCTTGTTTTTTTTAAATTGTAGATATTTTCTACAATAAGTATTTAGGTTTCTTTGTACAACTCCCTTAGTCTCATAGTGCCTTGAACACCCCTCCCCAAATGCTCCCATTTTCTCAATGTAGTTATGTTTCAGTTTTGGCTATGACAATGTTTAGAGTTTTCATTATTAAGAATATTATTTAGGGACTGGGGCTGGGGCTCAATGGTAGAGCACTTGCCTAGCATGTGCAAGGCAGCGGGTTTGATTCTCAGCACCGCATATTTAAAAAATTAAGTCCATTGACAACTAAGAAAATATACAAAAAAATAATAATAATAGGGGCCAGGATTGTGGCTCAGTGGTAAAGCCTAGCATGTTTGAAGCACTAGATTTGATCCCTAGCACCACATAAAAAAATAAACAAATAAAATAAAAAAATTGTGTCCATCTACAATTAAAAAATATTTTTAAAAGAATATTGTTCAAAGAAGAACCATATTATCCACAATTTGACTTTTCTTTTCCTGTAAAATAAGAAAATAGTGTTTAAAGGCATGGACCTTGGAGTTGAAGAGCCGAGGTTTGAATTCCAATTTTGATACTTATTAGGTGTGTGCCTTTGAGAAAACTGCTTAACCCCTTTGTGCCTCTGTTCCTGTAATCGAAATATCTGACAGGGAAAGTCTTATTTATTACTCCTACTTTATCTGAATTTTCCTTGCTATATTTTTCTTCCAAATGAACTTTGAAATTAATTAGTTACATTTCCTCACCAAATTCCATTGAGATTTTGATTTTATCATTTTTTTATTATTCAAAATGGACATTTTGCATCCTTTTCTCCACAAACATAATTTTTAACTGTATATTTACTTGTCATCGCTTAGAGAATATTTACACATGCATTATTGTTATAAAAATCATTAGAAATAGATGAAATGAAGCTCTTCTTTACTCTTGACCAATTCCAGTTAATTTTGTTACTGGCTTTCTTCTTATTGATTTTATGTAATTCTATGTTCTGAGATACACTCTGTCTGTTCTAATTTCCTAACATCCCCTAACACTCTTCTTTCTTGGCTCATGTGCCTTGATCATTCTAATGTCACTCCTACCTTTGCTCGTAGTTTCTTTGGTTTGGAATCCCTAGTTACTTCCTTCTGCCTTCCTATTCTAGTCATTCTCCAAGACTCATTTCAATTCCCAGCTGCTCCATAAAGCCTTCTCCTCCTTCTAACATACGATGTTTTTCCCCTTTGCCAAACATCTCTGTACTGAAACACTCACTGCTTGTATTTTCTTCCAGTTGTTAAGCCAACTAGACTATAAGTTTCTTGTATGTTGAGCCCTTGTTTACATTCTTCACAGTCCTTACTAGCTGCACAGTGTTTATTAAATTTTTTAACATGAACTAATTAGTGTTAGAGATCAACTGCTCTAACCCACTCATTTTTGTGGAAAAATCATTGGGTGATTGGTTCTCATGTTTCATTATGTCCCCAGTACTTTTCCTTAGCTACCCACATTGGTAAGAGAATATATCCTCCTCCCCAGGTTTATACATATGGTACCTACAGCCCACACTAACATGGGAAGTGATTAGAAGAAGCAATCTGTTTAATTGGTTCCTAAGTTTATAGGTATTAAGTACTGTGTTCAAACTGTTCATCAAATTTTATTAAATGGGTTCTACAAAGGAAATTTTTATTTCACAAGGACTAACATTAATATCACTTTTTGGAAACTAGCTTTATTTGTGAGAATTTTCCAAAGTTTCTTTTAAAAAAATTTTTTTTAGTTGCATTTGGATACAATACCTTTATTTTATTTATTTATTTTTATGTGGTGCTGAGGATCGAACCCAGCGGCCTCCTACGTGCTAGGTGAGAGCTCTACTGCCTAGCCACAACCCAACCCCAAAGTTTCTTTTTATCCAGGAGACTTGGTGTTCTGATTTGAATTCTATTTCATTCTGACAATCTGAAGGAAATCTACTGGGTATTACTTCATTGGTTTTTGAAGGTGTGATGAATCTTGCCAACTTTTATTGAATTATACATAATATTTAAGGGGAATTATTTTGCTATTGGCAGCACTTAAAACTGCCAAGCGTCTCCCCACTTTTGGCTGTTATAACAAATGGTTTTTAGTGATAATGAAAGTAATCTTCTAAAAAATTATTTATATTTGAAGCTATTGCATGTAATCTTTACCCTCTACTTTATAAAGGAGAAACATGTGAACCTGTTACATATCGAGTCCCGAAAATCAAAGAGAAGAAATTCAGAATTTGAGATTTTTGTTGACTGTGATATCAACAGAGAACAATTAAATGATATTTTTCATCTGCTGAAGTCTCATACTAATGTTCTCTCTGTGAATCCACCAGATAATTTTACTGTGAAGGAAGATGGTAAGTTTGGAAACTGAAACGACTACTAAGAAGATTAAGTACCTAATGTATGTATAATCTTATATTCATCTTGAAGATATGAAAGCAAAAAATAAAACACTGTCTTTTAAATTTCTTACAGTCTGGTAGTGAAGGGAACACAAAATACTAAAGAAAATTATAAAGCAACATTTGATTAAGGATGAGGCAAGTGAAAAGGAAGCTTCAAGTGTAAGAACCAGGGTGATTAGAAATTATCTCTCAATTTCCAATCATCAATCATTTCTTGATTCTACAAATCTCCAGTTCACACTCTGTAAGCACTTAGTAACTCTTTCTGGGCTTAGCATCTAGCAGTTACTCAATGAATATTTGTATCTGGTTGAGAATGTTGACAATGTCTGACAGCTGTGATGTGAAATATGTCATGTACAGCATTCCCGCCAAAAGCAAATGAGAAAGGAATTAAGTCTTCTAAGACTTCAAACACTCAGGACACTGAGAGAGCAAAGATAGAGGCTAAGTTCTTCATTTGTGAAAAAATCCTTGTAGTTTATTTGGTGCAAAAGACAAATTGATTCATTTAGCCATATTTTTATGTACTCAATCTAAAATAATCTCCTGCTGGGCATGGTGGTGCATGCCTGTAATCCCATCAACTCCTGAGGCTGTGGCAGGAGGATCATGAGTTCAAAGCCAGCCTAAGCTATTTAGTGAGACCCTAAGCAAATCAGCAAGGCTCTGTTTCTAAATAAAATATTTTAAAAAGGTCTGGGGGTATGGCTCAGTGGTTAAGCACTCCTGGGTTCAATCCCTGTTTCCAAATAAATAAACAAATCAAACGAACCAATAAATAAAAATAATCTCAGATTAGGTCACAATATTTGGAGTATAATCAGGGCTGAGATTCATCTATCATGCATTTGTACAGCCGTATGGTTGTTAAAATATTTGTGTATCTCCATTTTTGGCTGGCAGGGAGTTGCTTCACTGAGATGCTTGAGTATTTTTCACCACACCCAAAGCCACTGTTGCTCCAGATCCTTCACTAGGACCCCTGTGCCCACCATTAACAAAGAAATGGTTACCTAGGACTCTGATCTATTATGAGGGATGTGTGACCCTATTATATCTGTTGTTAAATATTTTGGATATCACTCCTGGGTGCAGTAGAAAAAGCAATGTACTGGAGCAAGAAGGACTGAGTTCCTCTCTCTTCCATTGAAAACAAATTACCTTGGGTACATTACCTTATCTTTCTGAAGTCTGATAGCTCACCTATAAAATGAAGAGTTTTATAAATAATAAGATGACTCAATTGATATTTAGGGTACACCAACTACTTATTAGATATTTCTGCTAAGAAACAAGGATACAAAAATATATAGTCCCTATTCTAAGTAATTATTAGTATTTTGAAAGAAAGACATATAAACAGATATGTTATAGTAAAGTATAACAAAAGCCTCCACTTTGATTTTTTTTTTTTGGTGTGTGTGTGTGTGTGTGTGGTATCTGGGGATCAAACCCAGGACCATGCACATGCTAGGCAAGTACTCTACCTCTGAGCCACAACCTAACCCACAAAAAGCCTCTAGAGTTAGAAACATCCCATCATAGGAACCCATGGAAAATTAGCAAGAGAAGTGTATGTGAAATGAAAAGGTCTCCTTACATTTGGGTTTTGAAGGATGCGAAGGACATTCTTAGGAAAACAGAAGGCTAGGTGGGTTGGGTGGGAGTGGGATAGGTATTCCTGGCAGAAGAATAGTATATGCAAACCCCAGTGTCCTATAACTGAGGAATGGTGAGAATATCAAGGTGGCAAAGACATAAATGAATTTCTAAGATCCTTTTACTCAACAAAAATAAATATTCAAAGTTCTTGTTAAACTTGTGCCTTGATTTGTGAAGTTGTACATCCTTAGCCTGCTTTTGTAAGATAACTGAATATGTGACTTAAAACATTTTTAAAACTTTGGTCTGTTACTGAAGTACAATATTTCTGCAACACTGAAGATACAAACCATTTTTATTTATTTTTTGTTTTTTAAAATTTATTCTTTTAGTTATACAAGATAGTAGAGTATCTTTTGACATATTTATACAAACATGGAGTACTTCTTATTCTAATTAGAATCCCAGTCTTGTAGTTGTACATGATATGGAGATTCACTGTTAAATGATTTTTTAAAAGCAAACATATTTTAAATAAAATTTACCTATTAGACATAGAGCATTTTTTTACCTATATACATTTAGATTTGATGTACAAGATAAAAATCTCATCTAGAATGTATTCATCTTTAGATTTCTTCTTCTTTATTGCCTTATTTAAGATTACTTCTTAAACTTTTAGTGGCTTTTGTATTTTTCAGGTATGGAAACTGTTCCTTGGTTTCCAAAGAAGATTTCTGACCTGGACTTTTGTGCTAACAAAGTTTTGATGTATGGATCTGAACTAGATGCGGACCATCCTGTAAGTTTTTTTTTTAATATTTTTTTTTAGTTATAGATGGATACAATACCTTTATTTTATTTGTTTATTTTTATGTGGTGCTGAGGGTCAAAACTAGTGCTTCACACTTGCTATGCAAGCGCTCTATCACTGATAGAGCTCTGTAAATATGTTTTAAAATAAATATTCTCATGAAAATAATTTAGAGAAAACTAAATTAAGGGGAATGTTTTTGAGAAAGTATTTTTCTAGACTAAATAGGGTCTCATTTTAATCTGGATTAGTAGATCTCCACATTGGTGGAAGTGAGATGAACTGCCTGAAAAGCATCTAACGTCATTGGTTCTAAGACATCTATCCTATACCTGGTATTGCTATTATTAATAGCTATCCTGGGAATTCTACAATCAGTTCTTATAAAAATGGGCATGGGTTATTGGAAAAGGGAGTAAATATGGATTGGAAAAACAACTTACCACACACATTTTCTGGCATGATTGCCTTATTAGGCCATTAATAAACTGGGAAGTTTTTTTTTTTTTAAATCTTGGAAAACTGTACATTACTGGCACAAGTTGGAGAATTAGTAAATCTAGAGTATTAGGCTTGGAAGCTCTAGGTTCTTGGGAAGAGGGAAGAGACTGTGACTGTGGAGTCCCACATACCTGCACTTTGCTTTACCTTGTTCCACTTCGTTGCTGTGTGACTAGGACCCTCTGCTACTTTTGGCAGTCAAGAAGTGATCCCCTCCACATTTATTCTATAAACTTATTGAATAACTGTTGCAATGAAATGCAGTACTTGTCTGAAAGGAGCTTGTAGTCTAGTTGAAAAACTAAAGCACATATATATAAATATGCAAAAAAAATGTAAGTGTGCAAAGTGACATTAACAAATTACTTTAAAATATACACAAGAGAGCAAACACTTCTAGCTGAAGAGATCAGAGAAAAGCAATGTTTCAACTGGGCATTAAAAGATTTCAGCAGGTAAAAGATGGAGAGGAAGGATAATTCAGGGAAATTAACAAAGGTTCAGAAGCAAGAAAATCTGGGGCAGGTTAATGGAAAGGTAATGGGTTTTCCTGATCTATTACTAAATTCTGGTAATTTTCACCTCCTAAGTATTTCTTAAATTTGTTCTTTATTCATCTTTACTATCACGTCCCTTAATTGGTGTCCCTGTCTCTATCCCTGCCATCTTCAAACCCATCCACAGTCATTAGAATGATCTAAAACCTCAATATGATCATTATCCTAATAATTACTGATCTCCATCTCCTAAAAAAATCACCCATGGTTCCTAGATACATACCTAAGAGGATTGAAAACTTGTCCAGAAATGTTCATAGCAGCATGAGAACAAGAAAGTAGGAAAAAAATCAAATGTCCATCAATGGATGGAATGGATAAAGGGTGATTTATGTGTCTTACATTCCATTCCATACAACAGAATATTATTGGCCATAAAAAGTTATAAAATACTGAGATATGCTACAACATGAATGAAGCCTGAGAGAAGCCAGTCACAAAAGGCCATGAAATGTATAATTCTTTTTACATGAAGTGTCCTGAATAGGACAAACTCATAGAAAACAGAAAATAGCTAATGAATATGATGTAACTTTTTTTGGTTGTGAAATTTTTCTGAAATTAGAAGATGTAGGTGGTTGTTAATTTCTGTGACTATATTGAAATCTTTGGAATGTTTTATTTATGATATATGAATTATATCACAATAAAGTTGCTGTTTCAAAAAAAAATGACCAAGGTACTTCCACAACTCAAGGCTCAAATCAACTTCCTTAGCAGGTATTTAACCTCTAGGCCCGTTATTATTCTAGGCATGCTCCATCCCCACCCTCCAACCTCCAGAAATATTGACTTGCTTAGATGTTCTTAGGTACAACATACAGTTTTCAATCTCTGTGCTATTGTTGGTGTTGTCCCTTCTGACCTCCTCCATCTGTTTCCACTCCCTCCTGAGACTTAGCTCAGGAATCAACACTGAAATCCTTTCCTGAGCCACACTATCCTCTTTTATACCCTGGATTATGAGCATTTGTTTTGTGTTTCTGTGACATTCTGTGAAATTCAATATGGCACTTACCATATTTTCTAATAATTGGTTCATGTAAACTTCTTGAAGCTCCAGATTGTTCTTTGTTCATATTTATGTCTCCAGACTTTAACATAAGGGCAAGTGCTCAGAAGGGGATCATAAATTTGTATTAAAGAGATGAGTCCCATTTACTCTTTGCAGGTGTCCTCATCTTTTCTTTTCTTTTTGCATTATTGGTTATTTCCTCATGGACTTTACTTTTTTTATTTCTTATTTTGCCTAAATTTTCCTTAAATATTTTTCAAGTTGGAGTTTTAACAGTACTATTTTATCTGTTCTTCCACTTGCCTTATAGTGGGAATTGAACCCAGGGATGGTCTACCACTGAGCCACACCTCTAGCTCTTTTTATTTATTTATTATGTTAAGATAGGATCTCACTAAGTTGCTGAGGCTGGCTTTCGAACTTGTAAGCCTCCTGCCTCAGCCTTAAGTCACTGGAATTATAGGCATGTGACATTACACCCCACATTTGTCTTTTTTTTTTGTCTCTTTTTGCATCTGCAAATGATGAAAGTGTTTGCATTTTGTGATAATATCTAAGGTTAAATTAAGTATCTATTTCAAATATTATTAATTACTATTTAACTGTCAATGTTGACCACAGGTAAATATAACTGAAGATATGGTCGAATGATTAAGAAAAAAACAAAACAAAGCAACTCACTAGTGAAAGAGAGCCTTGGATTTAGCTAGAACTGTGCTTTACCTAGTTTTCAAACTACTTTATCTTTATAACCACTATAGTATCTTAATATCTTTTTATAGAAACTATCTTTTTTCTTTGTCACCATTAGAGTACAAAGGGGATAGTGTAACACTGATTTCAAAATCAAAATTATCACAGTACCTGCTCATAGTAACAGTTGTATAGCCAGTTAATATATTTCTGCTAATAATAATGAAATGTTTCCTAAATGTAAATTTTCAAGAATTTTTAGTATGAATTTTTAAAAACTTATCTTTAATTATTAGGGCTTCAAAGACAATGTTTACCGTAAAAGACGGAAGTATTTTGCAGAGTTGGCTATGAGCTATAAACAGTAAGTATATTATCTAATAACATATTCAACATTGAAATCATAAAATAAATGACTGGAGTAAATTGTGTTTATTTAGGCTGCTACTTCAGAATGACTCCTTCCCTTTATCTCATTAGTGGAGACCCCATTCCCAAAGTTGAATTCACTGAAGAAGAGATTAAGACCTGGGGAACCATTTTTCGGGAGCTCAACAAACTCTACCCAACCCATGCTTGCAAAGAGTATCTCAAAAACTTACCTTTGCTTTCTAAATATTGTGGATATCAGGAAGATAATATCCCACAATTGGAGGATGTCTCAAATTTTTTAAAAGGTAATAAGCTAATTGGTTTTTTGTAAGGGGAATGTTAAACTCTGTTTTGATCTTGACAGCATTTAAACAGAGAAATAAAATCTAGTTGTATGGAAGATCAGAGTTTTCCTGTCTTCTGTTTTGGAGTATTGCATTCAGGATTGGGCACCACAGTTAAAGAGGGATGATCATAACGTGGAACAAGAGAAGAGCAAAGTGAGCAAACTTATGAGAGGAGTTGAACATTTATCTCATAAGTCAAATTTGAAGGACACTTAGGATGTTCAACTTGGAGATTTAGGGGACATTTATTAACACTTAAATATTTGAATATTTGAAAGCCATCTTACATAATAGAGGGAATACTGTGTGACCCTAAGGTAAACTGTTGGGTTAAAAACTGCAAGCTTGTGGCTTAGAATGGAGAATATCTTGTTAAAAGAGCCAAGAGCCATTTGAAAACACAGAAGACTTCTGAGAGGTTACTTCCCTATTTATGGAGGTGTTTGTACGAAAGGTCCACCAGTCAGAAAAGATTCAAGCAACTTGGGGAATGGTGACATAGATGATCCCTTTCCACACTAGGATTCTATCATTTTATCAAGAAAGATGTGCTAGTAGAAGCATGAACAAAAGGTAAGGATAATTTTATTCCTTTTAGTTCTTCATACATTTTTGGTTCAAGCTTCATTTTTTTCTACATAGTATAGAAAGCAAAAGGACCAGGGATTTCCAGGATTGAAAATATCTTAAAAAAAAAAAAAAGGAACTAGCCCCCTTTATCACAGCAGAATGGAAGACTTAGTGAAAAGAAGAAGTTATATTTTTGAATCACAGTGATTTATTTTTTATTTGTAGTTGGACACAATACCTTTATTTATTTATTTATTTTTATGTGGTGCTGAGGATCAAACCCAGGGCATTGCACGTGCTAGGCAAGCACTCTACCACTGAGCCATAATCCCAGCCCCTAGTTTCTTTTTTTAATGGCTGAAATGACTATCTTTGTGTTTCTCTCATGTACTATTAATAAAAATCTACATATCTATTCAAGAACTATAGATATAACTAAAAACAAAATAAAAATGAATTCCATAAGAAATTCATTTAATATTATTTCTATAAGGGAAGAAATCATGTGTTTCCTATAAAAGCTAGACTAGTAAAATAGTACAGAACCAGTCAATGCAAATGACCTTGCTGGACTTACAAAGTTCGACAAGTGTATACTACAGAAGTTGTTGGAAAATCAAATTTGCAAGAGATTTGGAGGAAGTATTCTGTTATGGATGCAAAACTGATAGCTGTTCCCTTGGGATCTAGAGCCTGGGATGACTACGGGATATATTTACTGAAGGTATTTCAAAGGCTAACTGTCAAAGACAGAAAAAACAAAAATAAAAGTTCAAACAAAACATTAGCTGAAGGATAATAGCTATATTGTCAAATATGGTAGCCATTAGTCACATGTGATTATTTAAATTTTAAATAATCAAACTAGATTGAAATCAAAATGTTGGTTTCTCATTCACACTGGCCACATATTGAGTACTCAGGAGCCACCTGTGGTTAGAGGTTGCCTTATTGGATAGCACAGGTACAAAATATTCTGATCACTGTGGAGAGTTCTACTGGATAGTTCTCTGCCCATCAGAGTGGGAGTATCCAAGTACAAACCGGATAGAATGGAACACCAGAATTGTGAGGGTTTGAATGAAGGACAAGATTGGTGCTCACAGAGAGGTCTTCCAAGTCACTAAAGCCTGGTGGCAGGCCCCCTGTACAGTAAGCATGCAGTCTTGGCAGGTGGGGGACAGAAGAGTACCATTCAGTTGACATAACATTAAGAAACGACAAAATATAATGCTGGCTAAAAATGGCATAGATTAAAAAATGGTATTGATATAAAATAATAGATCTTTTAAGTGAGTTCTTACAAAAAGAAAGTAAGACTAGGGGATATTCTCAACCCTTTAATGAGACAGTAAGGGATAGTGTAAGCAGAACTAGGTTCTCATCCTACCTTTATCATCTACTGCATGTCCTCGAGCACATTATTGAGTCTCTGAGCTTCAGTTTTATAGCTGTCATAATAAGGAGAAATATCCTTAATTCATTTTGTAAACACAAAAGGAGATGTGATATGTAAAAGGTCTAACTCATTACCTGGTCATGGTAAATGTTTAATAATTAATAGTTTCCTTTATGCACATACTATAAGTTTTAGTTTCTATGTTCTCCCTCACAATGTTGCTTAGTGCCAGTGGCAGAATTAAAATGCACCAGTCAATGATTTTTCTCCTTTTCTTTGCAGAGCGCACAGGGTTTTCCATTCGTCCTGTGGCTGGTTACCTATCACCAAGAGATTTCCTATCAGGTTTAGCCTTTCGAGTTTTTCACTGCACTCAATATGTGAGACACAGTTCAGATCCCCTCTATACCCCAGAACCGTGAGTACTTTGACTTCAGCCATTCACTCATCAAATGGTTATTAATAATAATGTTACCCCTCATGGATTTTTAGTGAGGATTAAATGAATTAGCATGTGAAAATCATCTAGCATAGTGCCTAACACCTAATACATTTCCATGCTCTATACAATTAGCCATTATTATAATTATTAATTGACAACCTGTTAGGTGCCAGGTGATATTCTTTGCAAAGAGGGTGTAAAGAAATCAGACAAAAATTTCTGCCTTCATAGAGCTTGTATTCCAGTGGGGGCTATGGGTAACAAACAAATAAATGTATGTGTATATTATGCCAGATGGCAATAAACGCCATGGACAAACGTCAATCTAGGAAAAGAATGGAGGTGTGTATGTGAATGTTGCTGTTTTGTGAGGGGTGATAAGGGAGGACCATGCTGAGAAGATGACATATAAGCAGAGACCCAATTGGGGTGGGGTTGGGAGACATGGGGATGTCTCTGAGTATCTGATATGCACTTATGTGTGTGAGTCTGTGAGTGGCCAAGGTTTTAAACCAAAATAATTTCTTAATTTGATTAATGTCCTTTTTGATCCTTTACTACCTGATCAACTGGAATAAAAGTAAGATTGGATTTTGATTTGATTGAATGGTTGATTATGTATTTATGCTAAGCATCACAGTGTGACAAACTTGTACCTTTATTTCAGAGATACCTGCCATGAACTCTTAGGTCATGTTCCCCTGTTGGCTGAACCTAGCTTTGCTCAGTTCTCCCAAGAAATTGGCCTGGCATCTCTTGGAGCTTCAGAGGAGGCTGTTCAAAAACTGGCAACGGTATAAATCTGGAAATTCCTGTATAGTTCAGTAATTCTCAACTGGGTACATTTTATTTATGTGGTTTAAAAGTTCATACATATTCAAAGTGACCATTAGAAAATTTGTCTTTGCTGATGATATTATAATTAAATAAATTTAAATGACATTAAAAGAAGATGAATAATTTTAAGGGTTTTTATTGAGCTTTAAAGGAAGGTAGAGAAACACAAGATTAATTTTACTAGTTTTTTTTTAAGCTGGGGAGTGTTTTACCACTGAGCTACACCCCAGCTCTTTTTATTTTTTATTTTGAGACAGTGTCTCATTAAATTTATCAGGCACTCACTAAATTGCTGAGGCTGTCCTTGAACTTGCTATCCTCCTGTCACAGCCTCCTGAGCCACTTCGATTACAGGCATGTATCACCACGCCTGATATAATTTTACTAGTTTGTGTACCTTTCCCAATAAAAATGCTAGGCTTTATAAAAATTATGCTAAAAGTTTTTAAGCACTAGATACAGACACTGTTCTGGAAATACAAAGATGATTAAAGTCTTGTTCTTGTCTTCAAGAAACTGCTATACTACGTGAGGACACAGTCATGTTTGAGTGAGATAAAGCCTATAGAGAAGTTCAGGTGAACTACTCCAGGAGCCCAGGGAACAATTTGGAAGAGTTTTAATGGAAGAGGGACATCTGGACTAGCTGATGAAAAATGAGTAATGTTCTTATGTGCCAAGAAATAAAATATGAACATCTAGGATGAGGACACACATGGAAAGACAAGGAGGTGCTTGCTTTGTTGAGGAAATGACAGGAAATTGGAGAAAGTTCTGTGAGAGTGTAGGAGGGTCATGTAAGATGGACTAGCTGGTTGGAATAGTGCTTCTTAAATTATAGTTTGGAGACCCTGGGGGTGGGGGTCCTTGAGACCTTCCATAGGGTCCTTGAGGTAAAAATTATGCATAGGTAAAAGATGCATTCAAAGTGTAGAGTGGATTTTCATGTAACAGAGTTCAGATTCCACATTGCAGATGAACTTTAAGAAAATACCATGTGTTGAGTTTTGATGTAGTTCAATGAAGAATATCCACACTTATCCTGAAAGGCTATTAAAATACCCAACCCTTTTCCAACTACATAACTGTGAAGATGAATTTTCTTCATATACTTAAATGAAAACAACATATTGCAATAGGTTAAATACAGAAGTAAATATGACAATCCATCTGTTTTCTAGCCAGACATTAAATAATGTCTAGCCAGACATTAAAAAGATTTATAACAATGTTAACTAGATTCCACATTGTGTACCCAATAATTATGATTATATTTTGTCAAAAATTAAAATTAAAAAGATTTATAACAATGCAGAATGATACTATTTATTTTACTAAGTTGTTATTTATGGCTTGGCACTGTGGTGCATGCCTGTATTCCCAAGAGCTTGGGAGGCTGAGGCAGGAGGATCCTGAGTTCAAATCCAGCCTCAGCAAAACCGAGGCACTAAGCAACTCAGTGAGACCCTGTCTCTAAATAAAATGCAAAAAGTAGGCCTGGGGATGTGGCCCAGTGGTCATGTGTCCCTGAGATCAACCCCTGGTACCCATCTACCAAAAAAGATGTTATTTATGTTACCATAAAATTGGTTTGCTATATTTAAAGTTACTTAGTAAATATTTTAAATTTTTCTTGGTCTTAGTTTTTAATATGGTCAATACAGTTATCTATAACTTATACACAAAAAAGATTTTTGAGATCTTCTGTAATTTTTAATTGTATACAACAGTGTTCAGAACAAGTTTGAGAAGTACTGATTTAGAATGAGGCCAGATCATGTAAAGACTTGTGAACTGGGCTGGGGATCTTGGGCTTTCTTCTGGAGACACTTTAGGTGAGTGACTAAGAGATGATTTTTTTTTTTTGAGGTGCTGTGCATAGAATTTAGGGCCTTGTGCATGCTAGGCTAGTGCACTGATGAAATTTGTTTTAATTAAGTCATTCATGATGTGAAAATATTATTAATGTTCTTTTGCAGTGCTACTTTTTCACTGTGGAATTTGGTTTGTGTAAACAAGATGGGCAGCTAAGAGTCTTTGGTGCTGGCTTACTTTCTTCTATCAGTGAGCTCAAAGTAAGAGTTGTGAATTTTTGCACATAACCCTGCTTACCTAATATAATTGACAAGCTTAAAACAGTTCTTGTATTTGAGCAAGGGCTTACTATTGAAAATACTTGGGGTGGCAGTAAACATTATTTGAATACTTGTTTCTATTTCCCAAGTTTTATATTTATACAAGTTGTATATTTATACAAATGTACATATATACATATATCTATATATGTATCTACATGTATAATATATAGATATGTAAGATATACATGCACACATATATAATGCCTTTTATTTGTTTATTTTTATGTGGTGCTGAGGATTGAACCCAGTGCCTCACGCATGCTAGGCAAGCACTCTACCACTGAGCCCCAGCTCCAGCCCTATAATAAAAATAAATAAAAACTGTTTTGAAGCTTTGCTTAAAAAGTTTTGCTGTTTCCTCACCATTTGTTATACTACCAGTAAAATCTATAATTTCTAGGGTATTATTTGAGATTTATTGTTTATCCAATGAGTGAAGGAACTTGTTCAGTGATGTCTACCACTGTCCAAGGTACTACATTCCTGCTCTGAAGGAGTCTGCCACCTAATGGTGGGTATCACTCATGTATAAGATTAACTACTGGCACCCACTGTCAGGTAGAAAGCAGATGTCATAATGCAGGAATAAAAAAAGGTCCTTGGGTGTCTCCTAAATGTAGAAGAGAGTTAGAATTAAAGCCATAGAGATAACAGGGCACATTTTTTTGGGGAAGTACAAGCCATTTGTTTTGCTGGGGTATAATGTGGGTTTAGTGGAGATGTAGGAAATGTTTGGAATTGTAGGTTGAGGCCATTGAATAAGTAAAAAGTTTGGAGGTATGCCAATTCTGGCAATTGTGTGATCCATGAAAATAGACCATATATCTTGATCCATTGACTCTTTGTTCTCTAGCATGCACTTTCTGGACATGCCAAGGTAAAGCCCTTTGAACCCAAGATTACCTGCAAACAAGAATGTCTAATTACAACTTTTCAAGATGTCTATTTTGTATCTGAAAGTTTTGAAGATGCAAAGGAGAAGATGAGGTAAAGTATATCTTTCTCATGCCTTTATTTTCTTTTGCAAAAGATGGAACTAGAAATAAGCAGCTAAGTAATTAGGAGCACACTAGGAGCCTTTTTGCCTGTGACACATTTCCCTTTCATGACAAATATTTAGAATGTGATATTTGTAATGATATTAGGTGGTTGCACATATTAATCAGATAGAGTGAAAAACTGGTTTATTCCAATTCCTTCCCATTAGAGAGTTTGTAGCTTAATAGAAAAAATAAACTATACACAAATTACTATATAACAATATGGAAAAATGACAAGCAACCAAAAAAGATATAGATGACACATTGTTCCACGTTTTATTCAAGAGCAGTTCATTTTAGCTGGGAGATAGGGAAAGCTTAACTGCATGTGAGAAAGTACTTGAAGGATAGATAGTATTTAGAAATGTTAAGTTTTAGGTTGAGAGACAGCATAGAAAAAGGTAAGGATGTTGAAAAAGAATAAGAGATGTGTGCAATGTATTCAAAGTTATACTTTAATTGTTAATCAGCCATATATGTGGTTAAAAAAGAAGGCTACTAAGGGGAGATTTGTATAATACTTCTGATTAAAATAAAACTCTGAACTATGATAGTAAGGAAGGAAAGAACTGTAAGCAGAATTAACAAAAAAACATTTGGTGGAGAGGGTCATGAGGTCACATTGTGAAGATAGTGATACGGGTTGAAGATATACTCCTTGTCGTCCAGAGATTGACTGTAGTTAGGGAGTTAGGCCATGCACAGAACCAAATAATAATATTGGCAGTGCTTTCTCTAGCACATATGGCACTTTTGTGTAAATTGGAAGTGGTCCCCTCTGGGTGTACCAGATGGATTACAACCTGAATTCCAATCCCTATCATGTACAATTGTCCTTAGCTGCACAGTTATCCCTAGGGATCCTGAGAGGTTCAAATGTTGGTTTGATAAAGGAGGCAGGATATTAATGCTTGAAGAAAGGGTAGAATTTAGGTCATTTAAGTGGAAGCTGGGAGGAAAACATTCTAAGCAGAAAGAAATACAAGTGCAGTAGGTAGGACTGTTCCTGGACTCTGTGCATGTGTGTAGGTATAGTTATGTAAGGTACAGCTGAGAAATCTGTTACTCTGTGGTCAAATATTGCCACTATCTGCTGATAGAGGTACTGTGGTTGGTGTCTTTAGTGTAATCTAGAGAAATATAGGGCTGGGGTGCTCAGTGCTGGAGTACTTGCTTGGCATGTGTAAAGCCTGGGGTTCCCTTCCCAGAACTGCAAAATAATAATAATAATAATAATAATAATAATAATAATAATAATAAAATATAAGAATGCAAGAGATATAGAGCTGTATAAAGGCTGTGTAAAGTAACAAATCATTGAGAAACTTATTATTTTTTTAACTTTTATTTTTAGTTGTAGTTGCACACAATACCTTTTATTTTATTTTTTTATGTGGCGCTAAGGATCGAACCCAGGGCCTTGCACGTGCTAGGCAAGCACTCTACTGCTGAGCCACAACCCCAGCCCAAGAAAGTTATTATTGAGAGACCTTGCCCTAGTAATGTCAGGGTAGGTGTATTTAGGACTACTTTAGGTTTTCCACCTGTTGCATTCCTGGGGAACTCTGCATGTGTAGGTGGGGAATTAGGTCAAATTGGTTGCACACATATCTAATAAAGATTTGCCTTTTTCTTAGCATGTGAAATAGGTCATCTATTTAGTTTTCATCATCTGGACCCCACTCCTCAAGATTGACAGTCTCTTGTTTGTTTTCTTAAACAGAGAATTTACCAAAACAATTAAGCGTCCATTTGGAGTGAAGTATAATCCATACACACAGAGTATTCAGATCTTGAAAGACACCAAAAGCATAACCAGTGCCATGAATGAATTGCGCCGTGATCTTGATGTAGTCAGTGATGCCCTCACTAAGGTCAGCAGACAGCTGAGTATGTGATGGTCGCCAGTCCTCGTCCAGAAAGCATCTGAGCATCAGTTCAGAGCCTGTGCACTAACTCTTGCTTTTCTTGAAGACCTGATTGTGGAGGCACAGCATTTCTGACTAAGCAACCACTAGTCTTTGAAAATGTGTACCCAGGATACTCTATATCATCTATTTTTTTTGTTTTGTTTTGTTTTGGCTTGTATTTTGGTAACTGCTTTAGTTAAATATAACTTACATACTATGTAATTCATCCATTTTTAGTAGAAGAAATTGTTTGACCCAATGGATAGACCTAGTCTCAACCTGCCTCTATTTCTCCAGGCCTTCTTGAGTAAAATGACCTTTATGATCACTTAGAATATCTTGACGAGTGTTATGGAGCTGATCCATATTCCTGCCTGTATCTGTTACTTATCACTTAATGTGTGCCAACCTCAACCATGTTCACACACTTAAATTTAATACATCAGCTGTTCCTGTTGCTAGCATGAGAAAAAAAAAAGAGATCTTTACACATCGAATGTGCCTAGTAAAGAGCAAGTAATTTTGAGTGTAGCATCTTATAGGGATATAGAAGTACTTAAGTCTGGAAAGGCTGATTGGGGCATAATTCTTAAGACTAGTCTAATAATTTCACATTTTATTTTATAGGTACTAGAGAGATCCTTCCCAAATGACTGTCCTCCTTGAACCTCTTTCCTTTCTGTGACATTACATCATTCTGGTTTTGTTCTAGATTATTATAAGGCCTAGGGGAACTTGGTGGGGGTGTCACTTGCAAGGCCCTGTACTCAGACATGTAGTCCCACGTAACATGCTGGTATTTTCTTAGGCTAGCAGGGCAGTGTTATCAAAGGGAGAGTTTAAATTGAGACAGACGAAAGAAATACAAGGTTTCTGAGAATTTTATTTTCAAGATATAAGGTGAGGCTAAGAAATAAAAAGGCAAACAATGAGGGTAGAAGGTGGGGAAAAGGGGAGCAAGTAGAATGTCCAAAAGGTGAAGAGCAGTTTAAGTCTGAACCTATAAATATGTAAGGATTGCAGGGACTGGTGTTTATGTGGTGTTAGCTGTGTAGCCTAGGGATAAGTAGTTGTGTTAGCGTCTCATTGCTGTAACAAAATAACTGAGATAATAAACTTATAAAGAGGAAGGCTTATTTTGGCTTATAGTTTTGGAGATTTCAGTCCATGGTTGGCTGACCCTATTGTTTTTAGGCAGTACATCATGGTGGGAACACATGACAGAGAAAAACCATTCACCTCACAGTGGGGAAGTGAGTGGGTTGGAGAGAGAGGTGGCGGGGTGGGGGGGGCATTCTTACACACACCAGGGTTCCCCCAGTCAGTTCAAGGGCACTCCCTAATCAATGACTGGAAGACTTACCGCTGAGGACTAAGCCTTTAACTAAGTCTAACACATGGGGCTTTGGAGAACATTCCAGATCTAAACTATAGCAGCACTCCTGTTATAAATGGGTGAACCTAGATTCCCAGATACATGTTTTGCTTCTTTAATTTGCTCCTTTCCTCCTCCCTATCTCCTAAATGAAGATTTCCCTCAATTTTCTGTCTTTGACTAATGCTGTCTCTGCCATCTCTTTGTGGGGATTGTCAACCACATCCATGATTTCAATTCTTATTTCAGATGACTCCTATATTTGCAATTTTAACCCTGGCATCTTACTTGAAATTTTGCCTCTTAATTTCAGCTTCCTGCTGGATATTTCCCTCCAGGTGTCCCATAAATTAGGCCAATGTTGTACAATTTCACATGGCACTATTCACATAAGAATGAAATGGGGTGTACAATGTGGCAGCCTTGCCAAGTATTTCAAATTTGACAGGTTCAGAGAGGAATGTAGAAGCACTAGGATGCCATACCCTATTAGCTTCCTCTCCAAGTGATCTAATTTCCAGTGATATTACATTAAGGATCATACTTCAGTTGGTTTTCCAGGCTTAATCAGCTACTTTAAATACATTAATAGTCAAATTGTTTATCATTTAACATGTTTTACTTCAAAATATTACCCAATTTTAATCCTTTTAAGACTTCAAAAGAAATCATAAAAATTTTTTAAAAATGTAGGATGCTGAGGTGTGAAGATCTTAAATTTGAGGCCAGCCTGGGCAACTTGGCAAGACGCTTGTCTCAAAGTAAATTAAAAAAAAAAAACTTTAAAAACTGTATTTAATTTCCCTATATTATACAAGGAAATAGAATTTATAAGAGTAATTTATGATATTTCAGATCTTATACATTTTGATAGCTGACAACCTATATGTATACCTTTGATAGTAAATAGATGTTAACTAATCTGAAACCATTTGAAATGTTGATTAGCTAGTTTATAGTTATAGTTAGTCTACTTGATTGCAAGACATCTATTGTAAGTAAATCATAATAGCAAATGGCAAATTATGAATATTGTATCTGGTTATTTTCATACAACTCTGATCATAGTGATGATTCATAGTTATCAAATTTTAAGTAATGGTATTAAAATCACTTTGTGACTAAAATGAATGTTAAAGGCAAAACACTATAATTCACAACTTCAGAACAATGGAAATATTCAATACTGGACTTCAGTTCTTCTAACCTCTGGATTTGTGATATTTGGTAAACCAGGAATCCTGAGAATTTTCTTGCATTTTAAATATGTCTTTGAACCATCTAGGATTATGTTAACAGTTACACAATTATGAGGACTGAGTTGAACTGCAAGTTTGGTTCACAATCTTTATCAGTGAGTTATTCTTCTCAAAGACATAGTATCCTTTTGAATTTTTTGAATAAAGCTGAAAAGCTGGTCATCATAATGCCTACATTTCTTAATCCTTATATTTTGTCATTTGGAATTTTTATAAGTAGCAATGACACACTAAAATGTGCACAATTATTCTTAATTTTTAAGTTGTCTTCCAACAAAAAAAATGGAAAAAGAAAGAAAATCCTGGAATTCTCTAAATGAATATATAATAGTCCATTTATTAATTTCTAGAAGTGGATATATTAACTGTGGTCTATTTGAGTCTAGTCTTTGTCTTACCATGTAATATACACTTATAATTTTCAAGTTTGTTATTAAACTGGATAATAAACACAAAATTCATGTTGTCAAAAGGTTTTTTTTTGCATGTCAAACATACATTAGAAACTGATTTAAATTTATGTTAACAATTTTCTTAAGTTTAAAAACTCCATCATAAGGCTGTGGTTGCGGCTCAGTACTAGAGTGCTTGCCTCATGTGTGAGGCACTGGGTTTGATTCTCAGCACCATATATAAATAAATGAATAAAGGTCCATCATCATCTAAAAATATTTGGAAAAAAACCCCCACTCCATCATAGTGTTATACTTCTTAAAAAAACCTATGGCTAGGGGCTGGGATTATAGCTCAGTGGTGGAGTGCTTGCCTAGCATGTGTGAGGCACTGGGTTTGATTCTCAGCATTGCATATAAATAAATAAAATAAAGGTCCATGGACAACTAAAAAATATTTTAAAAAAAACCTTGGCTATGAGATATAATAGAAGCCAAGCACACCTGGAACCCTGTAACTACCTTCCAGAGTTCTTGTAAGAGTCTTGATCTCATGTTTCTCATCTGAAAGATAAGCTGAATCTACTAAACTAAATCTACTGCATTGGGTTACAGGAGAAATCATGTTGTGAGAGAACTTTGTAAAAAGAAACTTTATTGTCTACATATAAAGAATCACCATAATACATAATACATAATCACTCTTCTAATCAGAGATTCCTCCATAGTTTCTGTGTGATTTTATCTTCTTCTCCAGCGGATTAACTTTTGCTTCTAGCAGGCAGTACAGGTATTATTATGGCATGGGATGATCTTAGTTCAGTTAGGGATGGAGTAATGAGAAGCTGAGCTTGGGTCTCTGTGAGGTTGGTCAATTTCCAGTTCACTTCTGTTCTCAAGGTGTAGTCCTTTAGGGATTCCAAATGAAAAGCTATGAATGTGTACCAGGGCTGCACTTCTTTGGGGACCTGAACTTCTACTTTTTTTTCCCTTCCTCGCTCTCACCCTTCCTTCCCCTCAGCTCTGAAAATTACTAAAATTACTGCTTAGTTTCTCAGCTGCTGCCTTCAGCCCAGATTCTTGGCCTCCAAGACATTGCTTGCTAATTAGCGAGTGCTTCTAGGAGAAAAGTAGTGCCAAATATAATCTCTCAGCTTCCAGATCGTGGCCCTTCAAGTTCCTGCTGCTTTGATAGCTCTCCAATGACTTGAAACAGATTTTAAAAATATTTTCTGCCAGCTTTTCTAGTTGTTCTTGGTGAGAAAAAAATTGATTAGCAGTTAGCTGATCTTCCTATATCAAAAGAAGAAATGTGAGCTGGGAACACCATCATTTACCTTCTTTGAGCATTTTCTCAATTACAAAATAATTATCCCAACAATACTCATATTAGTATTATTGGGAGGATCAAGTAAAATTATAAAATGGAAAAAAAAATTTTCTAACCCATATTGTACAGAAATATAGTCTGTGTGAGCCCAAGGATTTTTACTTTCCTCTTAGGGGAGATGAGCCATCTGAAAGTGATTCCATCAAAGAGTGAAATCTATTCCTATTCAAGAACTGCAACCCAACCATGCTGCACCTGGGAAGAACTCCCCAGGGGCATGTACATAGTTGAAGTAGTTGCTACATCTCAACACTTCTAAGAAACTGTAGTAAGGTATATAACATTACTGTAGGTTAGGTAAGTATTGATGCATGTACATTCATGGGGTAAAGTTAGAAAATAAATATACTCTCCTAGACTCTGTTAAAAACTGATTTGGGGCTGGGGCTGTAGCTCAGTGGTGGAGTACTTGCCTGGCACGCACGCACGTATGAGGCACTGGGTTCAATTCTCAGTGCCACATAAAAATAAATAAATAAATAAAGGTATTGTGTCCATCTACAACTAAAAATATATATTTTTTAAAAAACTGTTTTTTTTTTTTAGGTTGTTCTTCTTTGCATCTTTGGTGAAGTTTCAGGTCACTGCCTCCACTTTGTTGCTCACATGCAGATTAAAAAAAAAAATCCTTAGCTCCTTCCCCCCACTGCCCTTTTACATGCACACACTTTCATATTTTAAAAGTCCAGTCCTGTGTAAAAAATTAAAACATCAAATGTTAAGGTTAAATCCTTTTTTTCTTTCTCCAGAATTGAAAAAAGAATTCATTAGTTTCTTTTCTTCCTTGATCCTCCTTCCCCACTCAGTAGGATGCCTCAGACTCCTCCAGGATTGGAGAATAGTAGTGCGGAGGAGGGGTAAGGAATAGAAAAGTTCTTTTAGGCCTGATGCTGTTGTGAACTAGAGCTTTCTGTACTTGGTGAGTATTTAATGCTGACTCGCTCTCTTGAGGGTGTTTTGGAAGACAAAACATCTCCATGTGAGTAAATGTTATCTCTCTGACAGGGTTACTGAATCCATCCCCATCAGCCACTGGGAAGCTAGTGGTCAATTCTCCTATGGGTGTCATTTCACATCTCTGGAAATTTCCTTAGACTTAGTCTGAACCAGTTTGTTCATACGAAACATTTGCACAGGAGATACTCAGATGTTCTTTTTTGTTTTGTGTTGGAGATGAGGGTCTCACTATGTTGCTCAGGCTGGATGAACTCCTGGGTTGAAGTGATCTTCTGGCCTCACCTTCCCAAGTAGGTGGGACTGCAGGTGTGCATCTGGTTTTGTATCCTGAGTAACTCTGTATGTGAAAGACCTCCGGAAGGCATCAGTTTCTTATTGCTCAGCTATCAGAGCTGTTATTGACCACAACACACTGGGTTTCTCAGCATGAACTAAACAGCAGCCAGCCCAATCTGCAGGAATACACATCAGACTTTCTTAGTTCTGCTGAAGTAACTTTCCTTGGACATGAGATGGGTGGGACTCACATCACATTGATTACTGTGGCCCGAGGGTCTTATTAGACTTCTCTCCTCCCCAACCTTTCTTAGACTGGAAGTCACACACTGGTTTCTAGACACCTGTTTTATAAGTTCTGCTTTGGCTATCTTCCACCTCACTTTATAATACAGAAGTAATTGGCACTTATTGCCTTGGGGACTCAGCCAAAGCCGAGAGAGGAAGGGTCCAACTTTTACATTCCTGAAAGTACCCCCCCCCAAACATGGCATATAGTTTCTACACATCAAGGTCAAGAGAATGACGACCACATTGCCTCTCTAAAGTCTTATTACCATCACTGATGTTCTCAAGATCCACAGGCTGGAATGGTAAAGGCCAGGGGTGGTAGAAACCTTAAGGAGTGGGGAGTGAAAAATCAGGAAAGGCCTGGGGAGAAGCTCACCTCTGAAACACTTTCCATGGGCTCCCAGCCACAGGGTGGTAAGGGCTGGAGGCCTGTGTTAGCAGAGGGTCAAAGGTTACTGAATGTGACCCCATTTGTTCCCAGATCCTAATCCCATATTCCTAATATGTACTGGCACATTTTCCTTCAGGAAAATTTTATTTATTTAACTTCCACAAGCAGTATGACGGTGTTTCATAAAAGTCGTTTTATATGAAAAATCTTTGTTGGAGGAAAATTATCTGTTATTAACCATCAGAATTAGGGCAGGCCATGCACAAGCAAAGAGGGTGGGAGGTTGCCCGCAGGAATAGACGCCAACCAGACTCAATTCAGCTGCGAGGTGAGAGTCCCCGCTCTGTTCCGGGAATCAAGGGAAAGAACAACGCAGGACACCAAGCTCTACCAAAAATCTTCCTTCGGCTTTGCAAATGCATATAAAAGCAGGGCACCACAGTTCAGCGATCACACAATCCCGGCCCAGACACCCCTTTGGGTTGTGTGGGATTCCGAGGAGCTAAAAGTGGAGCAGCTTTGCCAACTGTTGAGCGTAGTGCACCTGTATGGAATTATTACTACGAATAGAGGATGAGAGGGCGGGAGAGACAAATGGCAGGCACCCCAGAAGAAAGGGGCGGGGGAATGGCTTCGAGGAACCTCCTGGGCTGCCGGGCCTGGCGGGGTCTGGTTGGTCCGCAACTGGTCTCTTGGGGCGCGCGAAACTACCACAGGTCCCGCTCCCCGGCCCCGCCCAGCCCCACCGCGTCGCCAGCCCCGCCCCCGCGCGGGGTCTCCGCAGCGTCAATCCTGCTCTGCGCCAGCCCCTCCCGGAAGCGCCGGCGGAGCGTGCCCGCATGGAGCGCGAGCCGTGCGCCGCCTCGGAGGCCGACCCCGCCGCGCCCGCGCTCTTCGCTTGGGTACGTGACTCCGCCCCCGGGCTTGGGGCGGCCCTAGGGGCTCTCAGGCCTGAGAAGTGGGGGTGTCCGCGTGGGCGGCAGAGGGAAAAAGGGTCGGGGGCCGAGACAGGATTTGGGTTGGAGGATTCTGGGCTGGGTTTGAGGAGGCACGGGAGCGAAGGGTCTTAACTGGGCGATTTAGGGGCCTGCTGGTTATGGTGTCGGGACTTGAGGGGCTGAGGCGCTGCGGGAGGAACCTACTTCCAGGTCTGGGGGTCTGTTCTTCCCAGGGCCTCCCACCCACTGGGTGGTAAGGGCTGGAGGCCTGTGTCAGCAGAGGGGCAAGAGTTACTGAATGTGACCCTGGCCAGGAGAGCTCCTGGGATGCCTGCGTGGAGGCCCGGGTGGAGAGAGGATCGCCCCGTCTCAGAGCCCACGGGGCCACCTGTGCCGCCCATCTCGGGTTGCCTGGAGGGTGGAGGGCCTTCCTTATCGCCACCATAGCTAGCGGGAGCATCTTTTGGATGTGAGGCCCGTGGTGTGTGGCAGCACGCTAGGCGCAGACCCTGCTTATTTGCGGATACCCTGCTGCGACCACAACTTGCCAGTATTGGAGGCCAGGGAGACTGGGCTGGTGTTGGCTTGATGCGAGCCTTAGTGAGACCTATCTTATGTGTGTCTGAGGATGCTTTGTGCACGGAAGCGTGTGGCATGCATGCATGCACAGGAGCAAAGCAAATGTTGAGTCTTGTGGTTCTTGCGAGTACGCATTACGATTGTAATGGCAGGTACAATTTCCTAATATTAATCTCCTTGGCTACAGTGTGAGGGGAAGCAGTGAGACTGTGAAGTACCTCTCTTGGTGCCTGGCACCTTGCAGGTCTCCAGCAAATATTTGTTGATTAAAAAAATGAATGAATGATAGGGCTGGGGTTGTGGCTCAGCTTGCCTATCACGTGTGAGGCCCTAGGTTTGATCCTGGGTTTAAAAAAAAAAAAAAGATGAATGAATGAGTCCCTGTGTGGCAGCCACATGTTCTGGTTGTGAAAGATTCCAACTCTTGTATTGGGGAGGATACAAACATACATACAACACATGTATTGGTATTGAAATCAGCATTTATTGACTGATTTAAAAAAATAATTATCAGCCCATGCCTGGCACTTGTTGAATTTAAGGCTGCAGTGTGGCAGAAGGGAGAGGGTGGTGTGGCCTGTATGGCTGACTCTCTGAGGTAGCACTTGAGCTGGGGATGGAGATGCTGTTTCTGGCTTTTTCACATCAGGAGACTGATGTCTGTGGACAGAGGAAATATCTGATAGAAAAAGCTTTTCATATATGTTCTTGAATGTACTGAAATAGAAATATTATTGAAATTCACCTAGCTCCCGTATTTGGAGGGCTGATGGTATGTTCTAACTGTTTTGAAATCTTTGTGTGCATGTATTAGTTTCCTTAGGCTACAATAACAAAATATCCTATACTGGGGGGGTTTAATAGAAATTTATTTTCTCACAGTTCTGGAGGTTTCAAGTCAAAGATCAAGATGTCAGCATTTTGGTTTCTTGTAAGGTCTAATGTGGCTTTTTCTTTGTGAGCATCGCTGGTGTCTCTTACAAGACCAATCATATTGGGTTCAGGCTCCACCTTTATGATCTCATTATTTAACCTTATTAACCTCTGAAAAGATACTGCCTCCAAATACAGTCATATTCTGAGGTATTAGAGATTAGGGCTTCAACATAAGACTTTTGGGGATCGCAGTTCAGTCCATTACAAGGGGATTTACTTTAGGGGTGTGTGTGAGAGAGAAAGACGAGAGTGGGGCGTGTTTGGAATGTAACGGATACAAACAAAGATGGAATTAAATTTTCTTTCATCGTTTTAGTTTGGGTTTAGGGTATCTTGCTACATTTTACAAAAATTGGTACCATATTCGGAACCCCAGAATGCTCATGTCTCACTTTTCTCATGTTCAACAGCCTGCAAGTCTGGTTATGGGACAGCACGGAGATCTGGGGCTGACTAAGTCCTGTGCATTATACTTCTTACTGTGCCTTTGATCTGACCTTTCCTAGGTGGGGACTTATAGAGCCTTACATTCACTCACCATATAAATAATGTACATCTTCTCTAGGCCAGCACAGTTTCAGATACAGGGCAAATAGTGTGCAAAACAAAGTTCTGCATCATAGAATTTACTTTTTAGTGGAGAAGGTAGACAGAAAACAAGTAAATATATGCTATACTGTCAAGGAGTGATATGAAGAAAAACAAAGCAAAAAAAAAAAGGTGGTAAAGTGCTATTTTAGATAGGGTTATATAGTTGACCTCTCCCCCTGCCCCCCTTTTTTCCCCCTTATAGACAAGAGTAGGGTCTAGTGAAAGGAATGTGGAATCTAACCTATTGCCTACTCAGGTGTATAACTATGGAAAGTTACTTAAGCTTCCTGAGTCTTAGTTTGTTTATTTGTAAAACCTGAGTGATAGTGTCCTTCTCCTTAGTTGCTGTGAGAGTTAAAGGTGAATGCCCAGTATGAAGAGTATTCGTTGTTTGGAATTTGTATTGCCCCTGAGGACCTCAGGGACCTGTGCCCCTGCCATGTCTTATTCTTGCATCCTATAGTTCTTGCAGCCCAGGATCACTGTGAAGATTTTGTTTTATGTTTCGCATGCATTATTTTAAGTAACTTTTCTTTGTTTAGGTGAATTCAAAAACAATATATTTAGAAGCTTTTACTATCCCATATCCAGGAAGAAGCAATGTAGAATAGATAACTAGAAAAAAAAATCATAAGAATTTCTGAAATCTTTTTTTTTTTTTTTTTTGGTACTGGGGATTAAACTCAGGGGCAGGCACTCGACCACTGAGCCACATCCCCAGCCCTATTTTGTATTTTATTTAGAGACAGGGTCTCACTGAGTTGCTTAAATTTTGCTGAGGCGATCTTCCTGCCTTAGCCTCCCAAACTGCTGGGATTACAGGCATGTGCCACTGCGCCCAGCCTGAAATCTTAATATGATTTTCCCTGTAGGTCCATGATCCCTTATCTTTAATTCTGAAAACCCAAAACTTATTGGACATAGGCTATTTATAGGCTGCAAAAATATTACTGTTTTGGTTATGGAATGTTGCCCTAGAACTTTGTAGCAGAATATATGATATATATATGTATATATATATATATATATATATATATATATATATATATACCATCTTGCTTTTAAAACCTGTAAACATTTTTTCTGAAGTATATTTATTGCAAGGGTTTCAGATTAGGGATTATGGAATTTTATTGTGTTATAACAACAATAGACATGGCCTACTAAGGGAATCTCTGTTCCCTCATAGGAATCTTACCATGTGAATCTTGGGGTCACAAACATTGTACTTGGAAAGACCCCTGGAGATCACTGTCAGCCTTTTTCATTGGACAAATGAAATAATGACACACCTTGCACAAAATCCTTAGCTAACTTTGATTACAGAAAGTTGTTGCCAGTTTTCCAGTGAAGTTGGGGGGAGAAACATCAAGAACTAGTTCCAGAGTATTTTCTGCCCAGTTTGTTCTCGTCTCCCCCTTGTTTTTCTTTCTCTAGCTTCCTTAGGTAATTAGTTTTTATCATGAAGAAAGCTCTATGCTGTCTCCCAAAAGCAATACAGGGGTGTTGGGGCATTGGAAGGGAAAGGTGAATATTATCATTGGGTAAGTTGTGGATGCAAAGTATCCCTCTTGAAACTGTTTCCTGAGGCGAGCGTTGCCATCTTAATGGGGGTTGCATGTAAGAACCCACATTTTAAGAATTAGTGAGCTGTTAACCATTGTAGGCTCTGAGAGGATGTCAGAGTGAGGAAGATTGGGACAGGTAAATAGACACTGACAATATGGTTTTTATATTTTTTCATCCTTGGCTTATTTTATCCTTAGGGTGCAAATAGCTATGGCCAACTTGGCCTTGGCCATAAGGAAGATGTGCTTTTGCCCCAGCAACTGAATGACTTCTGTAAACCTGAGTGTGTCAGGAGGATCACAGGAGGAGGGGGCCACTCTGCAATTGTCACAGGTGATTTCCTTCAAAAGTAGATAGCTACTCTTTCTTAGGACATTTTCCCCTAGGCTGTTATGTTGCCATCTTTCAGCCTTTTGTATTTTGCAGAGGAGAACATTTTTCTGAAAGAGCCACATAACCATTGGAGAATCCTAGGTGGTTAGAGCTAGAAGAACTTCAGAGATCTTCTGGGCCACCCCAGATCCACCACATTATACAAATGAAGTTCAGGGAGGAATACTGCTTAAAGTCACAAGGCTAATTAGTGGTAGAGTTGCAACATGTATCATATTTTATACCATGTGTTATTATTTAACTTTCACATGAATGAGAAATCTTTGCGGTTTGATTGAATATTCCTTGAGAGCAAGGATCTTGCTAGATTTCACAGTATTTAGGATAGTACTTACTGAGTACTATATGTGTTACAGTATTGCAGAGGAGGGCATTTGCAGCTGGTTCAGAATATGATCTTGGAATCAAACTACCTGGGTTCAAGTCCAGGTTCTATGATGGATTAGCTGTGTGGCCTTGGGCAGATAATCTTTCTGAGCCTTGGTCTCCTCATCTGTTATGGGGGGATAACAGTGGTGGATGAAGAAATTTGGTGAATTAACAGGGCTACATTATAACTTTCATGGATCTTTGGCACTTTGTTTTCATGGACCCCTTCCTCTATAAAGAAATATTGAAAATTACATCTTATAAAAATATATTTTACAATGGTATTTGTGTAAAGATTAATATAATCCAGACTGGATTTTGTGTTACATATGTATTACTATTATATAATTTGTCTTCGTTTTCAAACAATTTGAAATTAAATCATTCTTATGGACTTCTGAAAGTATTGTGGACCCCAGATACTATATCTAAAGGATGAATTGACCTCACACATAAAGTTCTTAGAACAGTCCCTAGTACATTCTAACTATTAAATGAACATTGACCTTCTTGTTATAGTTGCTGCTCCATTTTGAGGTTGATTGGCCTCTGCTCCAGGACTAGGAGTTTCCATTTAGATACTAGATTTGAGATCCTGGACCCTATGTCATTTGTCTTCAGAACATGCATGGGTTATTAACATTAACTTGGGAGAGAAAAAATTATTTATCTTTGACTTCAAATAGCGAATCCCCTTTGCTCACTTTGGTAGTTGTGATTTCTCTTGTGTACACTAGCACCAAAACCTTTATTTTGCAGATGGAGGAGGCCTTTTTGTTTGTGGCCTGAACAAAGATGGGCAGTTGGGACTTGGTCACACAGAGGATGTTCTGTATTTTACCCTCTGCAAATCCCTTCTTGGATGTCCTATCCAACAGGTGGCCTGTGGCTGGGACTTTACTATTATACTCACAGGTAAGTTCACGCCTAGATAAATTGTTATCACTATAAAGACTTTGGAAATTTTGGATTGGAACCACCATTTGACCCAGCTATCCCACTCCTCGGTTTATACCCTAAGGACTTAAAATCAGTATACTACAGTAATTCAGCTACATCAATGTTTACACCAGCTCAATTCACAATAGCTAAACTATGGAACCAACCTAGGTGTCCTTCAATAGATGAATGGATAAAGAATATGTGGTATATATATTCAATGGAATATTACTCAGCTTTAAAGAAGAATGAAATTATGGCAGTAAATGGATAGAGTTAGAGAATATCATGCTAAGTGAAATAAGCCAATCCCCCCAAACCAAAGACTGAATGTTTTCTTTAATATGCAGATGCTAATTAACAATAAAGCGGGCAGGGAACTAGAGAAGAATAGAGGTACCTTAGATTCGGTAGAGGGAAATGAAGGGTAGGAAGGGGAGGGAATGTGGGGATACGAAGGATAGTAGAACGAACAGACATTACTTCACATATATATGTGACTGTATGACCAATGTGATTCTATAACATGTACACTCAGAAAAATGAGAAATTATATCCCATCTGTGTGATATATCAAAAATGCATAAATGCATTCTACTGTCATGTATAACTAAAACAAACAAACAAAAATTCGAGTGAGAATAGCGAGGTGGTGGTGACTGGTGATAAAATGAAAACCTCTTTACTCAAATATTCTCTCTGGTTGCCCTGGAAAATTGCAGAGTACTTTTATAAAGAGAGTTTCAATGGTAAAAGAGTCTGGAATTGGGCTGAAAAACTTTGCAAAAGTCTGGGAATGGACTAGATCGCCTTTGGTGGCCACTTCCTGACCCAGAAGTTCTTGGTAGTTGTGTGCCTGGGCTAACTGGTCAGGAGTGCCAGTTAAGGGTTATCATGGGGGAATATGCTGGGGAAGTATGAGGAAGTGGAGATTGTCACAGCAGTGATGGCAGCTTTTTCCCACCATGGGATTTACACACACACACACACACACACACAGATATGGTTGGGCAGAACTTTTGGTTTTTGAAGCTAGATGACAATAGAGTGTAGAGGGGTATGGTCAAAGGGTAATAGATAATGTTCATGGGAGCAGCTGGTAATAGTTACTTTGTCAGTTGACTTCTCTGAAACAGTTTTGACTTCTTTGTTCAGCTTTGCCCTTTCTAGCTGGACATACTGGATTTAAAGGGCCATCTATAGTTTCTGACCATTGTCATAGTCTTCTGGCACAGACATCTTCTGACCACGTCACTCTTCTGCCCTCTTAGAGGGTCACTTGCATAGTATAAATCCCAAGCTTTTTTAGCACATGGTCTTCTATAACTGTTCCCTACTTATCTCTGTTGCCTTGTCTCTCATTCTGCACAATTCCTATCTTTTATTTCTAGGAATACCAACAAATCCATGCTTTTCTTTCTGTTTGGAACAGGTTTACTAGTCTTTCTGATGAACTTATCCCATCTTTTATGACCTACTGCTCAGGTGTCACCATTTCTGTTCTGTAGAGGGGTTCCATAATATGTGTTGCATTTGACAGTATTTATTAGAATCTAAATAGAAGGCTGGGGATGTGACTCAGTGGTAAGTGCTTGCCTACTATGGAAGAGGCCCTGGGTTTGATCAGCAACATACACATCACATATGCATCCTTATATATGTAGAATTTTGAATAGTAGTTATCATCTGCTGCTGTTTATGAAGTGCTTATTGTGTGTCTGTGTCTGGGTTGTAGGAGTTGATAGATAACACTGTTTCCTGCTCACATTTGGAACCAGTTGTGAGAAAGGCACATGGCAGTCAGAGTGGGAGATCTATCAGCTTTTTACTCATCAGGCTCTGGTGGGAGATAGGCTTAATTAGGAGGACAAGTGGTTCTCATACTCCTCTGGTTCAGACTTATTTTCCCACTTCCAATTCTAGGCCTTTCCTACAGGGGAAACCCTTACTGTATGTCAGCCTAGAATGTCTGAGAGGAAGGGGCTAACCCACACATGTCCTGTCTCTTCTCCCAGACTCACCAATTGGTTAGGTGACCTTTTGTTCCTAGGAAGCAGTGATTATGGGGAAGGGCCAGGAGAAAGGTCTGGAATGTTATAATAATTGTTATAGTCAGCTTTTGCATTGTTGTGACCAGAATACCTGACAAGAACAACTTGGAAAAGTTTATTTGGAGCTTGCAGTTTCAGGGGTTTTAGTTCATAGATGGCCAATTCCATTGCCTTGGGCCTAAGGTGAGGCAGCACATCATGGGGGAAGGGCCCAGTGGAGGAAAAGTGCTCAACTCATGATGGGATCAGAAAGGGAGAGAGAGAGAGAGAGAGAGAGAGAGAGAGAGAGAGAGAGAGAGAGAGAGAGAGAGAGAGAGAGAGACATGTGGGGGTGGGGTGGGAAGGGGATAGGGAAGATATATCCTCCCAGGGAATGCCACCAGTGACTCACCTCCTTTAGCCATGCCCACCTGCCTACATTTATCACCCAGTCATTCAAACTAGAATGGACTGATTAGGTCACACCTCATAATTGAATCATTTTACCTCTGAGTATTCTTGCATTAACAGGAGATTTTGGGGGTCACCTCATATCCAAACCATAACATTCTGGCCTATGGCCCCAAAAGTTCAGGTCCATCTCGCAATGTAAAATGCATTTAATCCATCTCCAGTAGTTCCATAGTCTTAACATTACCCAAAAGTCCAAGTCCAAAATCTTATCTGAGATTCAAGGCAAACTGCTGGCTGTGAGCCTGTGTAAAAATCAAAAGCAGGTTTTGTCCAATATACAGTGGCACAGAGTAAACGGTCCGATTTCAAAAGGGAGGAATAGAGGTATAGAAGGAAGGAATGAGGCCAGAGCAAGACTGAAACCCAGCTGGACAAACTAGTCCCATAACCCTGCCAGTAACTCTGCATACAGCCTCAAGGACTTTATGTACTCTCCTGAGGACTTGGGCAGTTCTTGCTTTGCCAGTTGTAGCACACATGGGCTCTCTTTTAGCCTGGCTTTCTCTACAACCAGTGGCTTTTCTTGACAGACAGTCCATGTTACTGACTTCTCTTAATTCCTGGGGTCTCCTTTCCAGCTTTGACTTCACCTTCACAGCTTCACACATCATCCTGTCAGGAACGATGTATAGGGATCGTGACTCTACTGCACTTTACCTGTCCTCTCAGACTTTCCTTTGAAATGTTGGTGGAAGCCTTCATGACCCCTTAACTCAAGCATCCTGTATTCCTGTAGAACCAGCACCATGTGAATAATGCCAAGGTCTGGGCCCCCTGGTGTCATGGCTGCTGTGGCCTTTGAGTGCTTGTGTGTCTCAGCATGGTGAAACAACTTCTAGGCCGCCCTGTGCAATCAGGGTACTACCATGTTCTCTTTGCAAAGGACTTTTCCTTTCTAGACCTTGAACCTGTAATGGGTATGGTCTTGCAAATTCTTGAGATACCCTACCCTCAAAGCATCTTTCCTATGGTCTCTGTGTGAAGTACTTACCATCTCTTTAGGGGTTATAATCTCTTCAACAAGCACATCTTCCTTGACCTTAGCTTTACATGCACTTTTTGGGCCAAACTGCAAATTTTAAAAATTCTTTGGTTGTTTTCTGCTCCCAATTCTCACCGTAAACTTGGCTAAACGCTGCCAGCAATATCTATGCCATGGACTGAATACTGTGTTGCCTTGGAATTTATTCTGCCAGATTAATTAGTCTGTCACTTTTAAATTCAGGCTCACACAAATTCTCAAGACACGGGTTCTTTATCAGAATATAACACGAGTGGCATCTAGTCCAATTTCTGAGACAGTCCTCATTTCCCTCTGAAACCTAATGAACACAGTCCATGTTCCTGTTGGGATTCTGAGATCCTACAAGAATCACCCATTAAGCTCTGCTTATAATATTCTAAAAATTCCCAGCTTTCATCTTTTTTTTTTTTTTTTGTGGGCGGTGGGTACCAAGGATTGAACTCAGTGTGGCTCTTAACCACTGAATCACATCCCCAACCCTGTTTTGTTTTTTATTTAGAGACAGAGTCTCATTGAATTGCTTAGCACCTTGCCATTGCTGAGGCTGGTTTTGAACTTGTTATCCTCTTGCCTCAGCCTCTTGAGCTCTGGGATTACAGGTGTGCACCACCGGGCCCAGCTCATCTTTTTTAAAAAAAATTTTTTTTTTTTTTTTCCAGTTTTTGATAGACCTTTATTTTGTTTATTTATATGTGGTACTGAGAATTGAATCTAGTGCCTCACAAGTGCTAGGCAAGCACTCTACCATTGAGCCACAATTTCAGCCCCAGCTTGCATCTCTAAGCTTCAAAATTTCTCCTGCAAACCAGCTCCAAAGGCTTTTGAACCACATGGTCATGTTAGTCATAGCAATGACCTCACTTCTTGGTACTGATTTTGCATCACTGTTGTGAGAAACACACTCACCTGTCCAAACCCAGAGAATGGATTGAGAGACAAGAGGTATAGAGAAAGCAAGGCTTTTAATGACAGTCTTGCAAAATTAGGTCTGTGTGAGAAAGCACACCCAGAGCTATTACAATCAGCATTTTATTCCATAGTTTGCAATGCCCCTCCCCCAGTTCCTCATTGGTTGAGTACTATGGGGTGTACAGTCTTCCTGAATGTTGCCTAGGTTTTACTGTCTCCTATTGGGTTATTTAAAGAAATGTACCTTTAATTGTCCCCACTTCCCTTTGTTCTATTGTGGTAGGAAGGCCTTTTTGGGTTGAATGTATCTTGGCACATACATAATTTATCTTTGTGGGTTAGGCTGACCCCTTCACCCTACTTCCTGTTTGTGAGGGGGAAGGAGCTGTGAATTTGTCCTACTCTGGTTAACTGCTTTTAACTTTCCACTCGGCTCTCCCCTCTAGCTGCTTTTCTTTCATCTCAAGTAATTTTATATTTAAGGCTAAATATTGTATTCTGAAAATGGACAATTAGACTCTCTATTCTGAGACCAAAATACTTGAAAATAATAACTTAGAGGAGGAAAAGCTTATTTTGGGTTAATGGTTTCAGAGATCTCAGTTCCTAGACAGCTGACTTCATTGCCCTGGGCCTAAAGCAAGGCAGTGCATCATGGGTGCCAGGCCCAGTAGAAGAAAACTGCTTGGCTCATGGTGGGATCCGGAAACAGAGAGAAAGAGGGGGGTATGGAGGGAGAGGGAGAGGAAAGGACCCACAAGGAACATACCTCTTTCCACGGAATGCCCCCAGTGACTTGTCTCCTCTAGTCATGCCTGTCTGCCTACAGTTACCACCCAGTCATTCAAACTAGGATGGACTGATTAAGTTACAGCTTTCATAATCAAATCATTTAACCTCTGAATTTTCCTGTATTAACAGGAGATTTTGGTGGATATCTCATATTTAAACCATGACAGTGATGGAAATGCTGTCACATGGAAACCTGAAAAGTAGGGAATAGGTACCTTCTCATTCCAGTACTAGGTGCTAGCCTGTGTTCTGCACAGATAATCTGCCATTAATGACAGAGTGTAATAATAATCTATGTAGAACACTTTGCCCAGTGCCGCGTACTTTCACTCCTAGATTAATAACAGCAGGGAATTGGTTCTGAATGTACTGAAGCTTGGCATCTCTATGTTTTTTTCATGTTTTTGCATTTCTTACACTTTAGTATTCACCCATTGTTCACATGTCTCACTTTATAGATTTGCAGTTTATTTATTTGTATTTTGCAGAAAATGGTCAAGTTCTATCATGTGGATCCAATTCCTTTGGCCAGTTAGGAGTCCCTCATGGGCCTCGAAGATGTGTGGTTCCCCAGGCCATAGAGGTGAGGATATCTAATATGGGAGGATATCTAATATTGCTTGTGTCCTGTTAAAGTGTTTCCAGTCTATTACAGTTATCCTTACCCATAGAAAATCCATGGAGTAGCAGAATTTGAGCTGAAAATAAGTGTTTATGGGAAAAAATTAGTTTTGGGGGAATTGATGTTATGAGCAAAAAACCCACACCTCTGGTTAATCCTTATACACATTATAAAGTTTTATAAACCAAAATAATAAAGTTAATATACCCCATAAGGATAATAATGACATTTTAAAATTCCAAGATTAGTAATAATGGGAATTATGTGAGAGATAGGTTCAAGATAAAAATGACTTGCCTAGAGACATTAAGCTAAGCATTATAGGCTAGTGCTATCCAATAGAAATATAATGTTAACCCCATATGTAATTTAAAAATTTATAGTAGCTTTGTTTAAAAAAGTAAACAAAATTAATTTTTAAATAATAGCTTTATTGAGCTACAATACATATATCATAAAATTTACCCTTTTAAGATATAGAATTCAGTGGTTTTTAGTGTATTCTAGATATGAGCAGCTGTTACCATAATATAATAATTTTAGAACATTTTCATCACCATCTAAAGAAACTACTCAGTAGCAGTCACTTTCTATTTTTCTGTCCCCCAGTCCCTAGTGACTAATAATTTATTTTTGTATGCATTTGCCTGTTTTGGTTGTTTCACGTAAGTGTAATTGTACCATATTTGACCTTTTGTGTCTAGCTTCTTTCTGTTCATGTGATGTTTTCAAGTTTTATCCATGTTGCAGCATGCAGGTGAAATTAACTGTAATTACTTTGAAACTAATCCAATGTATCCAAGTTATTATCATTTCAGTGTGTCACCAATATAAAATTTATACTTGAGATATTTTATACTCTTTATTTTGAACTAAGCCTATGAACTTTGGTGTATATTTTTTATTTAGAGTATATCTCAGTTTAGTCTAATCACATTTCAAGTGTTCATTGCCTACATGTAGCTAGTGACTTATACATCAGATAGTACAGTGTGACACAGGCTCTTCTCTCTCTCTTTTTTTTTTTTAACCTTTGTTTTTAATCTGGCTAGAGATTGAACCCACAGGTGCTTAATCATTGAGCCTCATCCTTAGCTCTTTTTATTTTTTATTTTGAGACAGGGTCTGACTAAGTTACTTAGAGCCTTGTTTAGTTGCTGAGGCTGGCCTCAAACTTGAGATCCTTCTACCTCAGCCTCCCAAGCTTCTGTGATTACTGGCATGTGCCACCAAACCTGACTGAAACAGAGCTTTTGACCCTAGTTCAGAGCTCTTTTCACTGCCTCAAACTTAAAATGTATACTTTTGTGAAGTTTATATTTTATGTGATCACAAGATAAATATGGAATTTTTAAAGAAATATGCTGAAAACTAAAATAAGTTCACCACCCAAGCTATTTAAGAGTGGAAAATCTCTTTTCTTTGGAGAGAGTTTAGTCCTGTTCCTATCATCGTGCTGAATTGAGTTGTGATCTGAGATGTGTTATTTGGGGGTAATAGTTCCCATAGTATGCATACAAGTCTAGGCTCTATATTCCCTGCTGTGGGAAATGTTATAGCTCCCAATTGCAAGTAGATGGCCTTGTAAGAACCTACATATAAGTCATAATTAATTTAGCTTAATTATAATTCATATAATTAAAGAGGACAGAGGAACAAAGGTTAAAATATATTGGATGACAGAAAGAAAAATTAAAAGGAAGGTATATTCAAGTTTTATCAGCAGGAAGATTTGCCCTTCTCCAAGGCTAATGTGATTGGGGACTCCACTTAAATAGTAAAGTCTCCAGAATAAAGAAGGCCAGAGCTTTGTCCTCTGTGCTGATCAGACTGCCTTTGGGTGTTGTATTCTGTGTGGATTTGGTGCTTAGGTAGTGGGCATAGAGGTATATAAGACTCAGGTTCTGCCCTTGAGGTCCCCAAAGAAATACATTATGGACTTTAAATAAACAAATGTGATTAAAGCCTCCTGTGGTAAGTGATTGATGCATTTACAATTCCTTTAAGAGAAAGAAATAGAGCCAACCAAAGCATATTTATAGGAGAGAAACCAGGAGGGAGAGAGAATTTGAAGCTCAATGATAGCTGGTGGAACTGGGGATATTTTGCTTAAAGAAGAGATCTACATTAGTTATTCATTGTTACATAGCAAATTACCCCCAAACCCAGCACCCTAAAACAATAATCATTATTCCATTGTTTTGAGAGTCAGGAATCAAGGAACCACCAGCTGGTTTTTCTCGAGGTGTCAGTCAATATCAGCTGGTGTATACATGGTCTCTGAAAGAGAAACTGTCTGGCAAACCCATTTCTAGCTGTCTCATAGGGCTGTTGGCAGGAGGCTTCAGTTCCAGCCATGTGGGCCTCTCTAAAAGACTATTCAGACATGGTAGGGAGGCTTCTCCCAAGAGTGATTTGAGAGCTGGAGATGCCAGGCAGGAAGTCTCCCTGCCTTTTATCACTTCATCTCTGAGTCACTTATCTCTTCCTTATTCTTTTTATTAGAAGTGTGTCACTAAGTCCAGCCCACACAGGGGAGGGGAATTAAGCTCTACATCTTGAAGTGAGTAGTATCAAAGAATTTGAGGACCTATTTTTAAAACCACCACAAGATGTCTTAGAGAGGACATGACAACTGTCTTCAAATATTTGGAAAGCATTGTCAGAAGCTACAGGCAGATAGATTTGGCTCCACTGAAAGAGAGAAATGAAACTCTGCAGAGATGGAACAGGCACCTGGGGAGGTTGTGAGCCCTGTGTCACTGGAGATTGGTGTTGGGCAGGGGTTGGATGACCACCTGCTGGAGGAGTTTCTAGCATTGGAGAGGGATTGGACTAAATCAGAAGTGGGAAAACTAGAACATAGCTGTGCCCATTCATTTTTGTATGTTCTATAGCTGTTTTCATTATAGTATCAGAGCAGAGTTGTGCAACAGGAACCATGTTACCTGTAAAGTCTAAAATATATACTATCTAGTCCTTTTAGGAAACATTTATTAATCCCTGGACTGGATGACCTTGAAGGTCTCTCCCAGCCCTATGAGGCATTGTGACATATTTTTAAAGTGTTTTTTTCTTTTAAGGATAAATATAGAAGTATTTTTGGGTAGAATTGTTGGGAGAAGAAGGCTAACGCAGCCGGACACATATTGAAGACCATACTGCATTGTATTTGGGTATAAAATACATAAAATTCTGTAGATGGATGATCTAAGTCCTTTTCTTTGTTTTGACAGCTCCTGAGGGAAAAGATTGTTTGTGTTGCTGCTGGACTGAGGCATGCGTTAGCTGCTACAGGTGATCATTTTGCCTTTATTTTCTAAATGCACTTTAGTAAGGAGGAACTGAGCTTTAGGAGAAAAATGCTTTAAGGAGTATTTCAAAGGGTCCTCACCTGTTGTAGTTCTGATTAAAAGGAGGGAATGTAGGGCAGAAGTCATGTAGGAAAGCCTATAGTAGGAGGAAGGAAGGAAAAAAAAAATTTTTAATTCTAGGTATGGTTTTAAATTTTTCTTGATTTGATTCATTTAGTCATTACAACCAGGAAGTGATATGAGTTGAGTTTTTACATGTGACAAAACTGAGGCCCAGAGAGGTTAAAGTGCTCGTGTAAGGTTATGTGTGGTAAGATGGGAAGAGGTAGAGCTGGGATCAGAGTCTGGGATGGTTGAAATTCCAAGTCACATTGTCTTCTCAGGGAACTGCGTTGCCTTCCTAGCAGATTTTAATATGTATTAATTTCAAAGCTTGACATGAGCTTGTTTCCTGTACCATGAGTGGGTGATAAAGACTGTATGTAAGTGAGATGGAGAAGGGAGACAGCATGTGGATTTTGCTTAGACCCTGGGCATAAAGGTAAATAGAGTCAGGTTTTTCCCTAGGAGTCCTAAAGTTTACAAATACAGTGATTAATGCATATACAGTTCCTTTAAAAAAAAGAGAGTTCGGACTGGGGTTGTGGCTCAGTGGTGGAGCGCTTGCCTAGCATGTGTGAGGCCCTGGGTTCAATCCTCAGCTCCACATAATAAATATAATAAAGGTATTGTGTCCAATTACAACCAAAAAATAAATAATTAAAAAAAGAGAGCAACCAGAGCATATTAAATTTTTTTTGATAATTGTAGATTAACAATATACCTTTATTTTTATTTGTTTATTTTTAAGGGGTGCTAAGGATCAAACTCAGTACCTCACACATGCTAGGCAAGTACTCTGCCACTGTGAGCTATAGCCCCAGCCTCAGAGCATATTTTCAGGAGAGAAACTAGGAAGGAGAGAGAATTTGAAATGCAGGGATGGGTGGGAGAACAGTGACCCTTTGACCTTTTCTCTTTTATTTTTCCGGTCACATTCCTTTTGTCCTTATGCACAATACTAATTAGTGGTGGCAGACAAGCTTCTGTGCGTTGTCCAGTTGTAGAGTGGAGAGAAGAGAAGGTGGGGAAGGAAAATTCAGTGCAGCACTGTACTGATCATCTCCTACAGCTTAACCTTGATCATATATTTTTCAAAAAGATTAAAATTATGTATATTGATAATTGTAGATTTATATGCAATTATAAAAAATGAAATAAACCTTATGTGCTGTTCTTCTAGTTTTCCCCATTGTAACATTTTACAAAATTATAGTGTATACTCAGCTAGTATATCAACATTGGTACAGTCAAGACACAGAACAGTTCCATCCTCATAAGGGTCTCTGATGTTGCCCTTTTACTGCCACATGCGCTTCCTGCCTGTCCCCATTTCCTTCTTAGTCCTTGACGAGTACTCTTCCATTTTCCATCTTTATAATGTTTTCATTTAAAAAATGTTATATAAATGGTATCATATAGTGCCTAATCCTTTCTGAGGTTGACTTTTTTCAATCAGTACAGTTCCCTGGAGATTCTTCCAAGTTATGTGTACCAATAATTCACTCTTTTTTATTGCTGAGTAGTATTCCATAGTATGAATGTATCACTCACTATAATAGCCTTCCAGGGATGCTGTCAAAAATGCCACAGACTGGGGGCTTTAAACAACATAAATTTATTTTCTCACCATTATGGAGACTCAAAGTCCAACATCAATATGCTGCTAGAATTGGTTTCTGGGGACGCATCTCTTTCTGGCTTGTAGATGGCCACCTTCTTGCTGTTTCCTCATAGCATCTTTCCTCTGTGAACTTGTGCAAAGAGAGATTTCCAGTGTCTCTTTCCCTTTTTTATAAAACCACCAGTCCTACTGGATTAGGGCCTCCCATATGATATCACTTAACTTTTATTTTCTCCTTTGGGTCCTCTCTCCAAATATAGTCACATTGGGCATTAGGGATTTAACATCTGAATTTTGGTGGGACACAGTTCAGTCTATAACAATAACTGTTAAATCAATCACTCATTGAAGAACATCTGGGTTATTTGCAGTTTTGAGCTATTAAGAATAGCGCTACTATATGCATTTGTGGACAGGTTTTATATGAACATAAATTTTCTTTTCTTTGAAATACATGCCCAGCAGTATGATTGCTGAGTTGTATGGCGGTGGTTACACTTTTATAAGTAGGTTCTTCTCTTAGAAATCATCAGGGCAAGAGAATTGCCTGTCAGTACATTTCTTCCCTCTTTTGTACCAACTTTCTGTAATTGCCAGTCTTTACGTTTTTAAAAAACAGCTTTATTGGGCTACAGTTGTTATTCATATGTAATGTGTACAACTTGATGGATTTGGATATGTGCAAATAACTGTGATGTCATCACTATCATCAAGGTCACAGACATATCCAGTACCTCTCAATGTTTCCTTGATGCCCTTTGTTTTGTTTGTGCGTGCGTGTGTGTGTGTGTGTGTGTGTGTGTTTGTGTCAAAAACACTTAACGTGAAACTTACATTCTTAGCAAATGTTGAAGTGCCCATTACTGTATTGTTAACTACAGGCACTGTTGCACAGCAGAGTCATCTAGCATAGCTGATGCTATATACCCTTGAACAACAACTCTCTATTTCTTCTGCACCCCTTGCCCCACCAACTACTGTTGTTCTTTATGCTTCTATGAATTTGGCTATCACAGATTCCTCATAAACATAGTATCATGCAGCATTCATTCTGTATCTGAATAATATCATCCACATTCATTCACATTGACACAAATGACAGGATTTCCTTCTTTTTGTTAAGGCTGAATGATATTCCATTGTATGTATATACTGCCACTTTCTCTATCCACTCATCTGTTGATGGCTGCTTTGGTTGTTTTCATATCTTGGCTTTTGTATGCAATGCTGTAAAGAACATGAGAATACAGCTATTTCTCCAAGATCCTGATTCCAGTTGTTTTGATTATATAGCCAGAAATGGGATCCCTAAATCATATGATAGTTCTTTTTTTAATATTTTGAGGAACTGTTATATTGTTTTTTTGTTACATGTGCACCATTTTTCATTCATAATAACAGTGTATTAGGCTCTAGTCTCTTCCTGTCCTCACCAACACTTTTTTTTTTTAAATAATAGCTTTCCTAACAGATATGAGGTAAAGTCTCACTGTAGTTTTGATTTGCATTTTCCTGATCATGAACGATGTTGAATGTCTTTTCATATACCTGTTAGTCATTTGTATGTCTTCTTTGGAGAAATGTCTGTTCAATTCCTTTGTCCTTTTCAAAATTTTTGCTATTGAGTTGAAAGAGTTCCTTATATTTTAGAAATTAACCCCTTATCATACAGATGGCTTGCAAGACATTGATGAATATAATTGCTACTACTTATTCATTCTGTCGAGGCCTCTTCACCACCACCATCTAATTTGTAAATATTTCTGCGTGTATTTCTAAAAGATAAGTAAGTACTCTTTTTGAAAATGTTGCTGTACTACCTTCATCAAACCTAAAAAAAAAAAAATAATTGTAATATCAGTAAGAATCCTGTTGGGATTTAAATTTTTCTATAACATGTTTTTATGGTTTTTTGAATTGGGATCTGTTAAATCCATGTATTATAATTGGTTGATATATATTTCAAATCTCTTTAAAAATGTATTTGTTTCTTTTGAACATTTATGCTATGTATACTTTGCCACATATAAATGTAATCATATAGTATTTATTCTTGTAAGTGGCTTACTTAGTATAAGGTTCTCAAGGTTCATCCACGGAATAGCATGATAGCATGTCAACATTTTTTTTTTTTTTTTTTTTTAACTATGGATTGAACTCAGGGCCGCTTAACCTCAGAGTTACATCCCAAGCCCTTTTTATTTATATAGAGTGGGTCTTGCTAAGTTGCTTAGGGCCTTGCTAAGTTCCTGAGGCTGACTTTGAACTTGTGATCTTCCTAGCTCAGCCTCCTGAGTTGCTGGGATTACAGATGTGCACCATCTTGCCCAGGAACGTTTCTGTACTTTTTAAGGTTGATAATACTCTATTGTTGTGTGTTTGTGTGTGTTTATCCATTCATCGGTCAAAGTGTGCTTGAGTTGCTTCCATGTTTTAGCTATTGTGAATAATGCTGGTATGAACATGAGTGTTCAAATGCCTCTTCAAGATCCTACTTTCAATTCTTTTAAATGTATACCTGGAAGCAGAATTGCTGGGTAACATGGTAATTCTATTTTTTCACTTTTTGAGGTACTGTTGTACTGTTTTCCATAGCAGTCACATTATTTTACATTCCCACCAACAGTGCACAAAGGTTCTCACAGGTTCACTAACACTTGTTATTTTCTGGGATTTTTGTTTTGTTAGATATAGCATCCAAATGGTGTGAGGTGGTTTCTCATTGTGGTTTTGATTTGCATTTCCTTAATGATTAGTGATGTTGAGCATTTTTTCTTGTGTTTAATTGGCCATTAATGTATCTTCTTGGAGAAATGTCTATTCACGTTCTTCGACTATTTAAAAATTGGGTTTTGGTTTGTTTTTGATTGACTTTTTGGAGTTCCATATATATATTGTGGATATTAATCCTTTATCATTTATCTGAAAATCCTTTTATTATGTAGTTTTTTTCTCTTTGAAATTTATTTGTTGAGGGGATTTTTAAGTTTTATTTTACATAAATTTGTGCTTTGTTTATATTGTGCCTATACTTTATTTTTTCATTAAGCAAACTTGTCTGTTTACTGCCCAAGGGACCACTGGTTATAGTATGCTTCCAGAGGAATAGACCTTAATGCTGGTGTTGGATTATAGGTACAATTGCACACATCTGAGTGTAGGCAAAATACATGGATTTTTTTTGTGTATTTGTATTCAGAATATGAGATGCAGTGGACATGGTAATAAAAGCCCTCTCATTGAAATCATGATTATTAACCTGTCTCAAAGTCATAAATATTTATTTATTTTGGCAATGGAGAATCTTTGAACTCATCTTGGTGTGTTGGGAAGGACACTACCTTAGGAGAGCTGAGTCCTGGCTTCTTCTTTGTGGTACAAGATCCCCATGTGATCTTGCACAAATCACAATCCTCTCTTAAGGTCTCAGTTTCCTCATCTAGTAGATATGAGGAATGAGCTTGATGATCTTCAAAGTCCTTTCTATTTGGCTTAGAGTCTGAGTTATGTTCTCAGGCTAACCCTGAGCAAGGTACATTCTAGTGATTTGACTCAGGAGTGTCCTTGAATTTTTTGGATAAGTTTTAATAAGTTTTACTATATTGAATTTCTCTTTGATAGTCTTAGATTGCCCTGACGACTGGAATTTTGATTGGTTTGGAGGTAATCCCTGTGACCAGTGATTGGAACCCTTGATGCAATTGAGCTTCTCCATAATACTCAGGTTGACAGAGTGAATTCAGAATTTCCCATAGTAGTGAGGTTCAAAAGGCAATTTGGTCTTATCCTGATGTACATTTTCTTTATTTTCTCTTCTGCTCTTTTGGGAAGTGAGTGGCATCGTGTTCCAGTGGGGGACTGGTTTGGCATCATCTGGACGATGGTCATCCCTCAGGCAGACTCTCCCATTATTTTTGACAGCAAAGGAACCAAGCAGAGTTACAGGTGAGGCCCTTATTTATTTTTTGTGAGAAAGTAAGAGACATAGACATGCAGAAAATGGGTAAATGGTTTTGTACTTTTGCTTTTTCTTTATCTATCTTACTCTCTCTATTAGTTGGTATGATAGTCTTGTTGGGATTTTTGTGCGTCCAGTAAAAGTAACCCTCTTGGCTGCCAGAGTTTGGGTCCTGTGGAGAGATAGATGTAAGTCAGATAGAGATCAAAAGATGGAGAATCAAAGGGTGGAGATCAAAATGGTAGCTCTAGAACTGTTAAAAACTACTTGGAGTAGTTTTATAATGAGCCTGTAAATTCTGAATTTTAGATTGAACTTAATCTACCAGGCACTGTTTCCTCAAAAGGACCGTGGGCTACTTTTCACATGCCTAGTTTCTTCTCCCAAAAGGGAAGCAGGAGTGAGCAAGGATGTAGAGAGGACCAGGAATGCCCCTTTAGGGAGTTCTCTACATGAAAATACGAGGAGTAGGTGATAAGTGTTCCTTTTGCTCATAGGTCTGTTGGTTGATCTTCTGTTGGTCATTTGGTCTATAGAGGCTTCTCCTCCTCAGCCTCCTTCCTTCCCTCTTTTCCCGCCTCTCTCTTTGAGCTCTTATTCTCTGTTTTCTATTCTCTTTGTGGGCCTTTGTCTCTCTATATTTAGCACCACGTTTCTATCTCCTCTTCTGACTTTTGTGACTCTGTTTACTGCAGGTTGGTTGTAGGAAAACCTGCAAGAGACCTGAACAAAGGAGGGATTTTTGAGGGTGGTGGAAATGTGTGTGGAAAGAATAGGAAAGGGGAGCTGCTGTGGGAGTGATGTACCTGAGTGTTGGGATCATTCTGATTTTTCTAAGTTCTAGAGTGTCTCTCAGCTGGAGCTGGGGTTAGATTTCTGATGCCAACAGGTTCAGTTGGGAGGGTGTGCTCAACCCTTCCCAAACCCTTTTCTTTTTTCATCAAGGTGTTCACTGCTCCCTAGGTATTCCCTGCTTTCTCATGACCTCCAAGCCTGTGGGCACACTGTTTCCTCTACCTGAAATGCCTTTCCTTCATGCTCCTTTTGGGAAAATTTCAAGAATTTTTCAAGGCCTAGCTGAGATACAGCTTTCTCAGTAAAGAATCTTTCCTCTTTTAGCATCCATTGCATTTTCTTCATAGGCAGGGATTGTTTATATGTTTTCTCATATGCCAAGGGTTATGTGCATTTAAGGGTCAAGAACTATGTGGCATTCTTCTGTATTACCACAGGACCAGTTACTAGAAGGAGTAAAAGTTGTTTATTTTATTTAACTGAACCTATTTAAGGTCTGCTTGGAGTAACAGTTTAGATTGAGAGTTGATTTGGGGAAGTTTTCTGATGAAAAATTAGAATGAAAATTAACTTCCTGCCTTCAAAGTCTTTCACTCTTTATTCTCCCATCGTCACCCTGTTTTCACAGATTCTGGAGCTAGATCCTTTACTGTCTCCTCTTCAGTTTGCTACTAGTAGCCCAGGTTTCCTCTCTGGTGAATGTGGCTGGAAATGTCTTATATCATTCCACAGGATACCTGAAGAAGTCTTTTGTGAAGATACTAATTAAACAGAAGCATCAGAAATAGAGTTATGGAATAGACTGCATTTATTTGCATGCTAAATCACACGTTTCTACAGGTTTTCCCAATTTCTAGAAGGGTTGATTGGGATTCTACCTTGTCAGTAAAGGCAGTGGAATTAAGGAAGGAAAAATACTAGATTTGGAGATGGAAGTCTAGTTCAAGTTCTGGTTCTATCTCTGTCTTGAGGAGGTCTGTGTTTGTATTTACATCCTGCATATGATAGTAGCTGAATGTATGAGATGTCATTGTTTCTCACACAGCAGACAGAGCTAGGAAATGTACACACACACATACACACACACATTTTTACACACATAAGCCTATCTATTTCTAGAAACCATTAATTTACACTGATTTTTCTATTACCAACTAATACCAGAAGCTTGTTTCTAGCTTTCTCACTTTTCACATTTGAACCTTCCTTTCCTCTCTGGTATTGAGGAACCTGTCTTCTTTATTCTCAATATATTTACTTCTCTATTTCACTCCCTAGTAGGTTCCAGTCTCCCACCGTGTAGCCATCTTCTTGGCCAGTGCTGCTGACTCACACCTGCCCGTGCTGGCTGAGTTTCTCCTCACACCTAGGTGGTGATGGCTCACGGTCCCTCCTCCACCCAGTTTGTTCTGTTATCAACATAATTCAAAAGAAAAAAAAATTTTTTTTTTGTAGGCCTAGAGAATTCTAAAGCAATATGTGTTCTTGCTGGCTCAGACCACTCAGCTTCATTAACAGGTAGGTACCAACTCTTTCACAGTTTAATATGCCATTCAGAACTTTGTGAGTGATGGCCTAGAGTGTTGATATTTGGATACAGAGGGAAGGTAATAGATTTTAAAGCCAGAATTCTGATGCCCCCACTGGTATAATCTTATGCAGATTATTTTACCATTTTTTGTCCATTTCCTTATCTATAAAATACTTTGTGGGTAATTATGAAAATTAAATATGATAATGTTAAGCACTCACATAAAACATAGGCTTACTTCATTTTCTTCTGAGTTTGCTTTCTCAATTAAACAAGAAGGATGAGAATATCTTCTCAGGGTAATTGCAATGGTTAAATCATATAATGAACAGTAAATTTATATATAGTCATGAGTTGCTCAGTGAAGGGGTTACCTAATCCATTTCTATGTCTAATATAACTAAATGCTATCTTTCTATACTTTCTAGCTGTTTAGTCTCAGACTAACCTATTTTATTCATCTATATCTTTTTAATTTGTTTGTCTCTGTTTTCTCTATTTTGTTAACTTACATATATATATATATTTTTTCTTTCATCTATTCTTTAACTTAAGTACCTATATATAAATAAGCCTACAAGTTTTATTCTCTGATCTGCTTTATATTATTATGTATTTTCCTATTTCATCCCTTTATTTCTATCTTTTCCATATCCATTTTTCTATCTAATATATTTTTTTTCTCACACTATAGTTTTCTATCTGGCTATGTGTCCACCCATCCATTGGACATGCTCATCAAACATAGTATGAACTTTCTAGTGACTTTCCTTAGGAGGCAATGCATTGTTTTCTAGGCAGCAGTTATCCTTTTGTTTTGATTCATATTGTCCTATTCTCTGCTGGTAGGGCTAGACTGGAGGCTGTACCTCTCAGAGATTTAATATTTTTTATAAGACCTCCACTCATAATTGAATGCATTTCATTTTTAAGCAAAAGGAGGGACATTCATACTTAGTGTTCTTTGTGTTTTATGTGGAAACTCAGGTGTGTATTAAAGGTAAATTAATGATGGCATGCATTCTCCCATATCAAATTTACAGTGTTGTCCAACTGGACACTCCTGTTGTTTCCAGAGCACCAGAGTCATAGTGAGAGAGTTTAAATACTTTACAAATTCTGAGCTATGCATAATTAGTTGCTTAATGAGTTTAAAACACAAAGTAACAAAAGAAACATCTACTTTTAGTGTTCGACTCACATTAGATAGATTTTTGTTTGTCAAAGTGTTAAGTTGAAATGAATGCTAAGTGTAAGCAACACTACTGGGCACCTGGTTTCACCTCTCCTTTTACAGAGGAAGAATTGGAGACTCCAAGATGAGAAGTGAGTTGTTCAAGCCTACAGTCAATGAGGGAGGGGGAGCTTCTCTCTGAGTGTAAAAGTAGACTGAGGCAGACATTTCTCCTGTGTTCTAAACAATTTGAAATGGCTGACATTATATACACCATAGAAATTGTCTGATCTCCTGCTAATGTCGATTTCTTAAAAAGTCTCGTGATTAGTAAATTATTTCATATGTGGCACTGTTCCTATGGTATTTTTTATACATCTAAACTTTGAATATTTTTTGAGATTTAATTATGACATTGACTATTTTGAAGTGTCTATTTAGTCATTTTTAGTATATTCACAAACTGAATTGTTTTTCAGTATTTTGAAAGTGATTTAAAAATTGTCAAGGGCTGGGATTGTGGCTCAGCGGTAGAGCACTTGCCTAGGGCAGGACCCGGGTTTGATGCTCAGCACCACATAAAAATAAAGGCATTGTGTTGTGTCCATCTACACCTAAAAAATAAATGTTTTAAAAAATTGTCAAGATTAATAATCCTCCTTTCTCATCTAGTTCAAGCTGTTAACACATTGGATTTTGTTCAGTGCTCTTTAGACCTTTTTTCTGGAGTCCTTGTAGATTGTGTAACTCTTTGGCATTGCAGCAGAATTTAATTTTACCTGCTGATGCAACAGTGTAATGATCCTCATGTGGAAGTCAGTTTGTCTTTCAAAAAGATGTTAGATGAACTAAGATAGATTAAGGCTTAATACAAATTGTGCTTTATCACCAGTGGCATCTTCATAGCTCACCAATTTACTTAATGGATTGGTATTTTGCTGAGGGGCCTTCTTTGCCCTCTTATATGGGATTCTCATACTTCATACACCTTGATGAAGTCCAGGGAGGTTGCCCTTTCTCTGACAATGAAGTATACCAAATTCACTTCAAAAAACTGCAGAATATCAGTGCTGCAGGGTTTCCTAGGTGGCAAAAAGGCTTCAATGATTTACATTTTGCCATTTAGAGTTGAGGAAACAAGAGTCCCAGAATGTGGAGTGAAGTGCTCAGTTTCAAATAGTGACCAAATAGTAGATGGCACTTGAACTAGAGACCTCTGAGCCCTGCTCTAGTGTCCTTTCATGCTACTCTTTGGCTTTTGATTAGTTTTTGGAAATATATCAGCAGCCCTAGGGCAAGCAATATTATAAAGTTTTATTGGCAGGTCACAAAATGCAGTGGAAGCTGAGTTGGTTTTTAGTTCCCTTATTGACTATGAGTTCTTATTAACCATGTGAGCTTCAAAAGTCATTTAACATCTTCCAAGTTTGATTAACTTATCTTCTAGAACAGTGCTTTCTGATAGAAATAAAATGTGAGCCACATTTCAAAAAAGTAAAAAGAAACAGTTGGAAATGAACTTTAATATTATATGTACTTTAACTCAGTATATTCAAAGTAGTATTTCAGTGTGTAATCAATATTAAAATTATTAATGAGGTACACTTCTCTTTTGCACCAAGTTTTTGCAGTTCACTCTGTATTTTTTTACTTCTAAGATATCTCAGTTTGGACTACCCATATTTCAAGTGTTCAGTAGCCACATATGGCTAGTGCTATTGGTTCATACAGTTTTAGAATCTTGAAGTGTTAGGGCTGAGAAAGCTTATAGAGCACCTGAGTAGTCATGGCTTCATTTTGTTTGACCTTTTATCTAAAAGATATATTTGAACTTGAATGTCTTTTAGACAGACATGTGCTTTCTGGTTTACCACAGTTGCCACCAATTGTTCTTGTTCCAGCATCGTCAGTCATGTTATCTGCCCTTCTGGACCAACTACCCTCCTTTCCACTACACAGGCTTTAGAGAGGTGGTGATTTGTCCAAGGTCAATAGCTAGTTAGTGGATCCAGGAATAGAAGCCAGAGTCACGTGATTCTGAATTTGCTTTTTTTTTCTGTTAAATCACAATGGCAGTCATTTCTGTTTATATCACAAGATTATTGTGAGGTTGAAATGCTGCACAGATGTGATGTGGTAGCTTTATATTTTCTGCTGGACAGGATAAACAATGAAAATAATCCTATGTTTTTAAAGTTTAAATAGAAATAGTTTGTCTTTTAACTTACTGTTTTAACAAGTTAAAAAATTTTCCCCCCAAAGGAAATGTGAGCATATATTAAAAAAAATAGAGAAATACGTCTCATAGAGGATAGATGTGGAATGAATATTTGTTGAGTGAATGAATAAAGAAAAATAACTACACATTCTTACTCCTTAAAGTCCTAAGAATATTTGACTTTGTTTCTATATGTAGAATTTTCATATATCTTACATTTGATTATGCTACACATGTACATTGTAGTTTGCTTGGCTCCGTTAAACATTATATTATAAGTTAAAAAAACCACAATTTTTTAGCCATTTTTTTAGACTTGATTTATTTTCCATAATATTCAAATAATGTTTCTTCATCTCTGTTTCCCTTCTGTTTAAGATGCAGGAGAGCTGTATGTTTGGGGAAGTAACAAGCATGGGCAACTGGCTGCTCAGGCTGCTTTTCTTCCTGTGCCCCAGAAAATAGAAGCACATTGCTTTCAGAATGAGAAGGTCACTGCCATCTGGAGTGGGTGGACACACCTGGTTGCTCAGACAGGTGAGAATGCAGCAGAAAATTTGGTATTGGTAAGAGCTACTGGAAGACTGTCTAAATAGGCAAGAATGCTTAGGGTTTAAGGATTTTTGTTCATGAAAAACTTTAGGGACTGGGAGGGGGAAATCCTGGGGTCTAATTCTGCTATCAGCCAGATATATGGCTTTTCCTTTGTGGATCACAGTTTTGTACCCAAAAAGACTGGATTAGGTTAACTCCTGATCCTGAAAGTCTGTGTGGTTTTAAAAAGGAATCCATTGTAGCAAGCATCACCCAGAAATTTGTCCAGGTTGTTGGGGAGTCCTTACTTTAATAGAGCTGAGGAGATGACGGTTTGTATTTCCACGTCAGTCTAAATTAAAAGAATCAGAAGCTGGTTGCAGTGGCATAAACCTGTAATCCCAGTGGCTCAGGAGGCTGAGGCAGGGGGATTGCAAATTCAAAGCCAGCCTCAGTAATGTAGTGAGGCCTTAAGCAACTTAGCAAGACCCTGTCTCAAAATAAAAAATAAAAAGAGTTGGGGAATGTGGCTCAGTAGTTAAGTGCCCGTGGGTTCAACAATCCCTGGTAACCCCCACCTAAAAAAAAAAAAAAAAAAAAAAGTTCAGCCAAAGTAAATATTTCAAGGAAAGATGGAGGCAGGAACATAATTTTGAATAATAGCTGGCATGATATTCTGACTTAAATTGTATTTACCCTAATAAACTATGTACATTGATCCAGACATCTCTTGTTCCCTCAGATGCTATGCTATCATACCATACAGCTTTTGGCATCTTCATCTTTCTTTGAGTCTTCATCTGTTTCTCATCTTTCCCTTAGGGGAGCTCTTTTGTGGCCTTCATATCCCTGACTTTGTTCTTGGACTTTGTGTTTTATGGCCTCTGTTCATCCCTGCTGTCTAAGAGTTCCTGCTGACTTATACACAATTCCTTGGACAGACAGTTTGTAATTCTTGGGTCTATTGTCATGTAAAGGCCTTCTGAACTTCAAGGGTTCCCTGGCCTGCTCTTGTCTGCTTTGCTAGCAATTCACCCACCTCTAGACTCCCAAATGCCTAGTGACTATTATTCTAGGAGTTTCTGGTTCTTGAAGGTTTTCAGTCAGCTTCTTCTGTTTTTGGTAAGTCACACATACTACACATTTGTATACACAAACAGACTTGTAAGCATTAATTTCTGTGATGCTTTTAATTGATATTTAAAAAGTTTTATGATCATTCTGGAATAAAGGCCTGTATAACAAATGTGTATAGTAAAATTTTCATATTACCACTTCAGAAGATGCTCGAAGGAAAATGTATTGTTCATTTGGAGGAAGATTATATCTCAGAGAAGTTCAGACTGCTTAAAGATTGGGCCCATCTAGAGAAGCTTTGCTTGAAGAGACATTGAGCATAGTAACTGCTTATTTGTATGCCTGCTGATATGAATTTTTTTTTTCCTTCAGTCAGTAAGCTCTGTGGAGCCACCATATTGCTTTTATTCACTTCTGTGACTCCACTGCCTATCTGAGAATGTAGTTGTTTTCCTTTGTCAGACTGTTTCCAGTTTAAAAGAGACTAAACATTCAAATACATTTAAGACAGGATAGACAGCTAGGATTTCTGATCTCTTTCCTGGGACTCACTGGTTCTTGAACAGAAGGCTTCAGTTTGTCTCTTTGGATTCAGGATCCCAAGCAAAGCAGTTAATATGTATTGGACACCTATTAAGCAATGTAATAAGCCTTGGAGAAATGAGGAGAAAGACATGGGCCATGCTTCTCTCGAGAATTTGTAGATAGACTTAAGTCTAAGAATATGGAGATGGACAACTTTTCCATCCACCCTACAAATAGTGATTATGTTGATGTGCCATACTTGGTATTAGATGTAAATATTGCCTTTAAGGTGTCTACCAGGGGAGACAGACCTGTAATGAAATTTCAGCACATTTCCAGTATGATGTGCAACAATACTGCTAAATACAAAAGTAGACACAAACTAGCCATAGTCTGAGTAATTAGGTGTTAACAGGTAGGTATTTCATGGTTAGTCTTCAAAGAGTCACAGTGCAGTACACTATACTTACTATCAAATGGTAGTAAGTTTGGTTGAGTCTGTCAGCATACCCTTTAATGAGTTAGGAAGTAGACTAATGAAAGACAGAAAGGTTTTTTTTTTTCAAGTACTGTAACTGATGTTGATTCCCATGTCTGGGTCAGCAGCCCAGCCCTTGGAGTGGGAGGTTGGAACCCACATCCCTGACACTGTCTGAGTCATTCCAGTTGCTTTGGAGTTCAGCTTAAGGTTTCCACCTCCACTTGAGAGCATGATTTTTGGTAACATTTCCGCTGTTTAATTAACTTGTTAATTTAGTTCATTTGTTTATGTACATTGCCACATTCCCCTTTCTTCTGAGTCCATAATGGTTAAAAGCTGGGAATGTTTGAGTGTCCTGCTTGTTGTACTGAATTTTGGGTAAATGGGAGTTTCCTACTATTTGATTCACCAATTTTGTGTTTTTTCTAGCAGTGGAAGCCCTTGCCCTGGCCTGATGTCATTGAGAAGAAACACCCAGGGCTTCCATTTAATCAGACTCAGCTGCTCACATTAATGGGAACAAGATTTCCTTGCAGGGTCAGAAGCAGCTCATTAGTGGAACAAGGAATTATTTGACTCTGGTTGTTTTCATAAGCTCCAGTGGCAAATTATTCCTGGGATGTACTTGTAGGCTGTAAGAGCACATAGCTATTCTTATCTGTCTGAGAAACGCTGGCTGTGTGATACTGAGAATAAAAGAGTTTGTGGATAGTGACCATATATCTGGCCAGAAAGATGGAATGGGATAGGATGAGAAAAAGGGAGAGCACTTTGCTTTTCCCCTTCTCCATAGGGTTTATACCAGTGTTTCTCAACCAGAGGTTGAGACATTGCAGTGGCTGGAGACATTTGTGATTGTCACAACTGGGGGCTGCTACTGGTATCCAGTGAACAGAGGCCAAGGCTACTATTAAACATCTTAAAATGCAAACATAGTCCCTCTACTCCTATAACAAAAAAATTATCTAGTCCCAAATGTTAATTCTGTCCAAGATTGACATAATATCCCTAGTGGTAGGTGCTTAGCTAGGGCAGTTCACATGGTATCAGATAACTTTACAGACTATGGGAATCTGGGATGTGCTCTCTGCTCCCCTCAGTCTGGTGTCTGCCTGCAGTGTTCGCAATGGAAAAATACTTTTCTGTTAGTCACAGCCACTTGGAAAGAGTCCAAGAGAACCTGTTCTAATCTGGGAGAGTTGGCAAGGGTACCTGTGTCTCAGGCTGGTGGAACCGCATTCTAGAAACCTTTCTCAAGCTGCTTGATAATCCTGATCATTGTTCTCAGGAACTTCATGGGACTCCTGGGTGACTATCCAGGCTCAGTGACCTGCAGCTGTATCATTTGAGATTCATGATTTCCTGGCTAGTGGTGCGTTTAGTGAGAGTTGAATGGCAGATCTGGTCCTTTCCTATTTTGGTGACCTTGATTAAGTCACATCACCTGTCTAGGCCTCAGTTTTCTCATCTCTTAAGTAGGATATTAAAACCTACCTGTATTCTGCATAGGGTTGTTGTGAGGTTCAAATGAATCTGTGTGAAAGATCCCACTAATTGTAAAATGCACAATTGCCTGAGATTGGGATATGTAAGTGCATTCTGGAGTCAGTAGCTGCTTATAGAAGGACTTCTATCCCAGCGAGATCTGTGCTGAATTTGAGACACACTAGCTTCTGCCCCGATGGCTCATAAGCTGGCTAGGGGATGTGACAGTTTCCACATCTTTTTTTTTTTTTTTCAAATTGTAAATGGACACACTATCTTTGTTTATTTACTTATTTTTTATGTGATGCTGAGGATTGAACCCAGTGCCTCACACGGGCAAGGCAAGTGCTCTATCACTGAGCTACAGTCCCAGCTCCAATTTCTACATCTTGATGGGGCCAAGTTTCCTAAAGTCTTTTTCACTCATTGTGGTAGGCAAGTGGCTTTTTCAGGCTGTTAACAGTTTGGAAGATCTCCGTAGATAATTTTACCTATTAAAATTGATTCTTCATAGCATTCATCCCAATTTTTCATTGTGTACATCTGTTTGTAGTGTTACTTGTTTAACATATAGATCATAAATTCCATGCAAGCAATGTTGGTTTTGTTCATGGCTGCATCCCTAGCATATAACCTAGGCATGGCACTAGTAAGTGGATGATTCATAGCAAATTGCTGAATGAAGAAATAAATGGAAAGGTAAGAGAAACACGGGCTGTGACATCAGACAGATCAAGGTTTAATCTTAGTTTCATCAGCTTACTTACAGCATTGCTGTGGGCAGTGCCCTCGTGTCCATATCTATTGTCACTGTTATAGTTGTCTAGTCTCTTTAGTTCTCATGGAGGTATGGCCCTTTCCTTTGTGTGTGTGTGTGTGTGTGTGTGTGTGTGTGTGTAGGATTCTTTGACTAACTTCCCCTCCCACTAGACTATAAGCTCCATGAGGCAGGAGTCATGTTTGGTTTTGTTCACCATTGTATCCTAGTTCCTAGCAAAGTAATTGGCATATATGAAGTAGGTGCTTAATACATTTTGGACAAATGAGTTAAACCTAGCTTCTCTGAATGTATTTCCTTATTTGGAAAATGGGAAAGCAGTTGCTGACTGGGCATAAGGATTAAATCAGATGACGTAGTACATCATCCAGCACAGGACTGGGCTCATGTGCCTATTAGTGCACATCTGCCCTTTGGAACTTTGGAGCTTTTTGGAGGTTGGGTGCTCTTCTCTTTCCGGAAGAGGTCTCTGGTTATGGGTGCTTCTTTAACAGTTTTATTCAGGACTATCCTGAAGAATACAGAAAGATCAGTGCTTACAGATGCTAAGTGATGGTTGCTGGTGATTTATTAGAATTTCAAGGGGAATGATTTTCCCAAGATCCAAATGTTAATGTGGGGTTAGTCAGAATGTCTAGAATCTGTTTGCTTTCCGGA